AGTTTCACATCTGCAAAGGGAATTTGCCATATGAACAAATGATAAAATGTGCGTCCCTTCTCTCCTGGTAGCACTATAATGGAGGTGGCCATATGCTATTAATTGTTATAGCCTTATCAACCCACAGGTGATAAATCACCAATTATCATTTTCTAAATAGAATGTGTTTTTGTGTTCTTCCAGTCTATTATTATTATTATTATTATTATTATTATTATTATTATTATTATTATGCACTCGTGTTCCCACTTGTGTGACTATTGAACGAGACTGAAGGAGTCTATATGGAATGCAACCATGTGTTCTGTCGTTTTTAATGAACGCGTCTGGAGTTGACTTCTGGACAAGTCATTTACCATTTTCTCTCTCTCTCTCCCCCTCCCTCCAACTTTGAGTTCTCATCACTTCAAAGCCGCATTCACACGTCTAAAGATATTACTTTAATCTCTCTTTTCCCCCACAGGCTGCGTGTGACAAGCGACACATTTCCTTCCCAGAGCTTTATTCTTGAATGTTCTGTTCCAACTACTCCGCTACTAACCAACCTCATAATCCACTGTGCTATAGTTCCAATGTGTTTGACCTGCTGAGGTAAACTTGACTCGTTTGCCAATTATCGCATCATTAATCTATTCTGTATCTCTCTCTTCTTTTCTCTCCTCATGCCTTAAATAGAAGTGGAACAAAAAGGTAACTAAATGCCCACTCCTTTATTTCACCTAGAGTTCACTGGGGTTCATGCTTTGCTTGGTGATGGGGGTTGCCATAGCAGCTTTTCTCTTATGTCATCCATCTGCTTTTTAATGACCTTCTAATGTCTGCTAATTTAATGTGTCTACTGGTAGTGATGCACATGTCTGTAATACTTCATAAGACATTATCAGGGGGTCATACATGCTTATGAAACGTCTTACTATAATCGCATCATTTTTGGGAATGTGTTCTTTCTCATAAAAAAGGTGGGGTCCAACATCAGCAAGTAATATCATTGGTAATGGAAATTGTGGTCCCATTTTAAAAAATGTAAAAGGCGCTAGTCTCAATCTAGACTGAAACACTGCCAACACTTGTAAAGAAACTTGTAGAATACAGAACCTAGGATGAAATTCTATGACATTCATGCAAGGCAAAGATTATTTCAATAGTACAGATTCAAGACACACATTTTAGTCTTTAGAATTTTGGGGAAATAGCAAATGTCTGACAATAGCACTGCTTTTACATGGTCAAAATGTCCCTTAACATAGTAAAAAGGATAACTATCTTTCATCTTTCTGCCGTAATACACTTCACATGCACCCCACTACATATCTTTCTTTCACTATCTTTATATATCCAGAACATTTTATTTCCGAGGTAATTGAAAGTTATTCTATTCATGTTAGTCAGCAGCATCATATTAAAGGCCAGATTTGTGGATGCCAATCAATAGCCTCGCTCAATAAACTGTCAGAACTTCTGATTATAGGCCTAACATGATGATGTTATAACCTTCAGTGACTCCCAGTTAATATGGCAGAATGCACTAAGACACCTACTAAGACACCTACATGTTAATATATTATGGATTTGGCATGCTACCGTACATTATAAGATAGCCTATTACTGCACCCGAGCCTGAGACCCAGTGTTGTGGTAGTAGTTGTGTTGTTTTTATGTTTTGACCCTGGCCCTTGAGACATCAAGTCATGTTTAAGTTAAGGGCGCACCCATAGAACAAATATCCACATTAACATTTTGACGCTACTATAAAATGCCTTTGGCTAAAATGATATGTTGTGCTATAACCTTCCCACAACCTTGTTTCACAACCTGGTCTCAGAGCATTTTGTATTATTCTGTACGTAAATCAGAGACACTCAAATGAGTGTGATATGTTACGTTTGGTAACTACTTAGCATGTTAGCTAACCCTTCCCCTAACCTTAACCCTTTTAGCTAACTCTTCTCCTAACCCTAAACTTAACCCTTTAATCTAACTCCTAAACGAACCCCTAGCCTAGCTAACGTTAGCGAGCTAACTAGATTACGTCATATATCACATGTTTTGCAGATTCATAACATATAATATGCATTATAAGAGGAGTATTTCTGACTGTAATAAATCCCTTTTGTGGGGAAAAACTCATTCTGATTGGCTGGGCCTGGCTCCCCAGTGGGTGGGCCTGGTTCCCAAGTGGGTGGGCCTATGCCCTCCCAAGCCCACCCATGGCTGCACCCCTGCCCAGTCATGTGAAATCCATATATTAGGGCCTAATGAATTTATCACCAAATATTATTGTTAAGTCATGTTTTCTCTCTTCGCCACTTGTTAATTCCTTGTTTCCTTCTAATAACCTTCACTGTCACTTACCTCCTTGTCTAGGGTGTTGGGATCCATTTCTAACGGCCTCTTCAAAGCTCAGGTTGCATCCCAAATGACAGCCTCTTCCCTATATAGTGCATTACTTTTGACCAGAGCCTAAATTGGGAACAGTGTGCCATTTGGGACGCAACCAGCCCAGTTTCTTTCCTGTCAGTAGAAGTCTACCGACCGGGCACATTAGATTTCGAAAGCCTTTTTAAGCCATAGAGACCCTCTTAGCATTTTTGTGCTAGTCTAGATGCGTGGCAAGGGAGACGTGCTGTCGACGGGTGGAATCAAAATATATTATTCACATGCAAGTAGATAACATGTTTAATCTGAAGAGATTACAGAGGAGTAAGGCTTGTGTTTTTCTTCTCTGAGCACACTGCTTTTACCTCCACCCAAATCCCCGGGGAGAACCTGTCACCAGGGGTGTCCGCTTCCTCACCCGTCAGAATCATAGAAGCTTTCGCATATGTTCTGTTTTTGTTATTGTTAATGTACTGCACCCTAAATCCTAACTAAATAGGGTGGAAATGTTAGGCTATCTTAATTCTTTGTTGCTTTCGTCTAGCGCTTGACACCAGCACTGCACTTAGAATCAGTATCACATGCTATGGTCAAATCACTCTTTTTAAAAGTGTAGACCTATTTCAAACCTTCCTTATCTCTACGTTTAACAGTATCTGTGTTATTGTTACATTTTAAATGGTATAAGATGATATATGTTATTATACAAATTGTATAAGAGTCTGTTTTAGAGAGCATAAGTAAATATACAACACTAGAAAAAAATTAAAATGTTCAAGGGGCACGGTCATTTCTCCCCTTTAGATAAAGCTGTCTTTTGTTGTATCTCGTCCCAATAAATGACGTGCTCCGTATATTAAATTCGTATGAGTAGGTTTTAAATTCAAATGTAATATTTTTATCAAGACGGCCAACTTGATATTGACTCAGTCGGAGGTCCAAGAGTAATCGATCTCGAAACAGAATCAACTTCGGCAAGGGATGCACACTATCGACTCATATGCTGCATCGCTTCTTACGTTTTGAGTACAAACCAGTTAGGGTATAATTAGTTTAGAACGCAGATGCATTGTAAATCATGATGTCACAGACTGAAGATATCTCCTGCGTCTGAAGTAATGAAAAAATATTCTCATGTAGTAATGTAGATAGTCATTATTGTGTTCCCGGGCCCCAGCTGCCAATAATTATGCTTGTGCTATTTATCAAAATCTTTTTATGTGTTTTTTTTTGTATTAGATGTCCATATTAATGTTATTTCTTAACCACTGATAGCTCGGAGGAGATGGGATGGATGAAATAAGTGGATGGAATGTATTGCTTTTTGTATTACATTGATTATGGCACTGATTAAATGCCTATTGTAATTATGTGGATAGCTGGTGTAATGAGAAATCATTGCCCAATGTATGTGTGTCTGTGTATGTTGCGAAATTATTTTAGCCTCAAACCATGTTTATTATGTATTTAAGCAACATTGACAACTACAGTGAGCTCCAAAAGTATTGGGACAGTGACAATATGTGGTTGTTTTGGCTCTGTACTCCAACACTTTGGATTTGAAATGATACAATGACTATGAGGTTAAAGTGCAGACTGTCATCTTTAATTTGAGGATATTTCAGCACTTTTTGTACATAATCCCCCCCCCCCCCATTTTAGGGGACTAAAGTTATTGGGACAAATTCACTTATGTGTATTAAAGTAGTAAAAAGTTAAGTAATTGGTTCCATATTCATAGATACTACATCAAGCTTGTGACTCTACAAACTTGTTGGATTCATTTGCTGTTTGTTTTGGTTGCGTTTCAGATAATTCTGTGCCGAATAGAAATGTATGGTAAATAATGTAGTGTGCCATTTTGGAGTTACTTTTAATGTAAATAAGAATAGAATATGTTTCTAAACACTTCTACGTTAATGTGGATGCTACCATGAGTACGGATAATCCTGAATTAATCCTGAATTTTGATGAGTGAGACAGTTACGAAGGCATAAATATCATTCACGATTCATTCATATCTGTAATCTTGGTAGCATCCACATTAATGTAGAAGTGTTTAGAAACATATTATATTCTTATTTACAATAAAAGTGACTCCAAAATGACACAATACATTATTTACCATTAATTTCTATTGTGCACAGAATTATCTGAAACACAACCAAAACAAACAGCAAATGCATCCAACAAGTTGTGGAGTCACAAGCTTGATGTAATCATTGCGTACTATGAATATGGGACCAAATACTAAACTTTTGACTACTATAAGTGAATTTGTCCCAATACTTTTGGTCCACTAAAATGAGGGGACTATGTACAAGAAGTGCTGTAATTTTTAAATGGTTCACCCGATATGGATGAACATACCCTCAAATTAAAGCTGACAGTCTGCACTTTAACCTCATAGTCATTGTATCATTTCAAATCCAAAGTGCTGGAGTTCAGAGCCAAAACAACAACAAATGTGTCACTGTCCCTAATATTCATAAACCAATATGAGGTATTGAAGCTAACGCATTGTAAACTTTGTTAATGTCTTGATCATTTAGGTCAGGATGAAAGCAATGATTTCCTTGTATGCTATCCTTCTTTGTCCTTCTAGTTGCAGTATTCCAATAATGATGTCCCATTCATGCCAAAGTAACTCTCTGCATTGTCTTTCCTCCATTTTGGCTCCTCAGTATTCCTGTGCCCCGGCTTGCTGCGAGGGGTGTACCAGAGCGAACACCTCTTTGAGTCGGACCACCAATCCGGTGCCTGGTGTAAAGACCCCCTCCAGGCCTCCGACAAGATCTACTACATGCCCTGGACACCATACCGCACGGACACGCTGACTGAGTACTCCTCCAAAGAGGACTTCATCGCAGGGCGACCCACGACCACGTACAAATTACCGCACCGCGTCGACGGCACAGGCTTTGTAGTATACGACGGCGCACTGTTCTTCAACAAGGAGCGCACGCGCAACATCGTCAAGTTCGACCTGCGCACACGCATCAAGAGCGGCGAGGCCATCATCGCCAACGCCAACTACCACGACACCTCGCCGTACCGCTGGGGCGGCAAGTCAGACATCGATCTCGCTGTAGACGAGAACGGCCTGTGGGTCATCTACGCCACGGAGCAAAACAACGGGCGCATTGTCATCAGCCAGCTCAACCCTTACACCCTCCGCGTAGAAGGAACCTGGGACACCGCCTATGACAAGCGCTCGGCGTCCAACTCCTTCATGATCTGCGGGATTCTGTACGTGGTGAAGTCGGTCTACGAAGACGACGACAACGAGGCGACTGGGAACAAGATTGACTATATCTACAACACTGAGCTGAGTAAAGATGGCTTCCTGGACATCCCCTTCCCCAACTCGTACCAGTACATCGCCGCCGTGGATTACAACCCGAGGGACAACCTACTGTACGTGTGGAACAATTATCACGTGGTCAAGTACTCGCTGGACTTTGGTGCATTGGACGGTAGACCAGGTAGGCCACATATTCATATTTTTTCGCTCTTCTATTTCATGTCTTTCACTAGCTTGTTGGTAATTCAGAGAGTTGTTGGTATCTTTGGTAGATATATTTATGCTTGCAGTCGCTTTGATGGCAAGAGAAGAGAAGAGGAGGTTGTTGACGAGGCTACAGTGTGTAGATAGAAGACATATGGTTTGTTGTCATGAACATTTTCTCAAAGGTCTTTACTTTAAGTCAGGGAAACACTGTTAAAAATGTATACATTTTAGCACATTTCAGTGTTGCGATAAGTGTAATTGAATACAAACAGCATCACTTTCATACTCATGGCCTATGAATGTCACCATCAGTTGTCATGTTCCTAGCTTGTTTGACACTATGATTGGTGGGCTTTTTTAATTCGAGAGTAAAGAGCAGAGGAAATGAAGAGGAAGTATATGTATTGTTACACATTAGCACCATTGCGAGTGTGTGGGTTGGTGATAATTAGCTATGGAATATGATACCTCAATGTGTCATCCATCTTGTTCCATTTAATTAAACCCCTTGAATGATAGAAAAAAAAACAAGCAAACAACCACACACCAGCTGTGGGAAAATGTAATAACTGCAGTCACATTATTGTTTTACGAGACATTTTAACTGTTGGCGAACAAAAGGATTTGCATTCGAAAGAAAACAAATAATTGTTTGCTGTCACGTGATTGGGTAGTTATGTTTTCTCACGGGGATCGTATTTTAGGCAGTTGTTATCCCTAGTTTCTGCTATTTATTAGATATTACATTATTTTCTATATAATTCTGACAAAGAAGGTGAATAGAACTACAAGAGTTGTTTGTTTGCCTTTTTAGTCTTTTCTCAAAGTTTGTCTCTCTCTCTTTTACAGTACATGTCACCTTTGTAAAGACAGAGATCACTGCTCTCATTAAACTTGCCATAACTCTTTTTAAGAAAGTAAAAATTATTCCCTTTGATGCTCTTTCTTTAAAGTAGTCATCAAGCCTACCCAAAATTGTTTTGCAATGCCGAGGTAATTCTTTGCGCTGGCTCATTAACAGCCTAGTCTGAATTATCACAAGTTATTTGGCTGTGAAGTCTTTACCATCCTCATCGGTGGAAATCGCAGCCTTCACCTGCAGTTTTTAAATGAAATTACAATTTTCCCAGAATCTCAGCTGAAATGCATATGGACAATTCCACAGTATATGCTGAGACTCAGATTTTTCCCTTTAAAATGTATGCCAAACACAAATCAATGATTGCAAAGTGAAACAGACCATACAACTTTATGCACAATAACTAATTTTAACAATTTACACTTTATTTGGATAGTCCTGATATTCCATCTGTAGATGCTCTACAGCAGGGTTTCCCAAACTCTGTCCTCGGGACCCCAAGGGGTGCACATTTTGGTTTTTGCCCTAGCACTACACAGCCGATTCAACTAATCATCAAGCTTTGATAATTTGAATCAGCTGTGCAGTGTTAAGGCAAAAACCAAAATGTGCACCCCTTGGGGTCCCGAGGACTGAGTTTGGGAAACGCTGCTCTACAGTAGGGTTCATTTTTTTTTTATTTTTTTTTTTGTCATTTAGCAGACGCTCTTATCCCGAGCGACTTACAGAGCAATTAGGTTAAGTGCCCTTGCTCAAGTCACATCGACAGATTTTTTCACCTAGTCGCTCGGGGATTAGAACCAGCGACCTTTCGGTTACTGGCCAAACTCCTTACCCCTAAGCCACCTGCCGCCCGGTCAATAGTTTGTTTGAAAGTATCTGTCGATAAGCAACTGCTTGCTAAGGTTAAGGTTAGGTTTAGAATAAGGGTAAGGGTTATGATAAGTGTTAAGGTTAGTAGATAGTTAGCTGAAATGTTACTGATAGTCTGTAGATAGCCTGTAGACTGTAGGATTATCCCAAATATATTTCTTATTTTTTAATTTTTTTGTACAAAAACACATTTACTCGAAGAACGTGTTTGGTAACATAATGACAGCACAGACAGCACAAACCGTCATTCTTTAACCAACTTTTCTTCAAGTAAATGTGTTTATGTAGAATGTGCTGTGGAAATTGTTGAAAGTAGTCTTTGTGCACGTAGTTGTATGGTTTGTTTAACTTTGCAATCATTGGTTTTTGTTTGGCATACATGTCAAAGTGAAAAATTGGTGTCTAAGCAGCACTCTGTGACCGTGGAATTGTCTATATCCAACCTAGTCTATTCATCAAAGGCAGCAGAGTTCTGTTATGTGATTTTACTTATGCCTGAGGTTTCACTTTCCACAACACATAGGAGCTACACATAATTGCTTCCCCTGTTGTTGCTTAAAGGGAAAATACACCCAAAACCACTCATTCCTTTAATTTAAAGTGTTAAATAACACTATGTGAGAACAATATTTTTTGAAAACAAATGTTTCATTTTGGCGTTATATGTATAAGTTGGTAGCAACATGTAAAAATTGTTGTGGCAATCTGTTGCAGTTCAAGTCAACTACAAAATCCACAATGCAATGCTCTCGCTATGGGCTTGCTGGCTAGCTAGCAAACGTAGCTACACACAATAATACCAAAGACAATATCAGCATGTAAAGTAGCTAGTTAGCTGTAAAATCGCCTAAACAAACTGCACTATCAATTTAGGAGTCTACAATCTCAACATGTTCAAATTGCATATCAATGTGCCTCACAGAGTGGAGTTTGACATTCGCAACGACAGATATACTTTTGAAGAGATGGGAAACGTTGCCCATGCTACATCAATTGTCCGCACAGTGCATTATGGGCGATTCTGGGACAAGGAGCACTCTCCTTCAAGGAGTGAATGGGAGTCTATTGGGTGCTAGCTCAAAAACCCAACATTAGCATGCATTTTGTCAACAAGAAGTACAACATTACAAATATTTTCCAAGATGTAAGATAATTAACTTGCTATCTGTAATGTCGTATAGCTTTGGAATCGTGACATTACGTACCTATGAGGAAAATAGGCACGTTTCTCGACATACAGTGCCTTGAAAAAGTATTCAACCCCCTTGCCATTTTTCCTATTTTGTTGCATTACAACCTGTAATTTAAATTGATTTTTATTTGGATTTCATGTAATGGACATACACAAAATAGTCCAAATTGGTGAAGTGAAATGAAAAAAATTACTTTTTTTTTTAAATTCTAAAAAATAAATAACGGAAAAGTGGTGCGTGCATATGTATTCACCCCCTTTGCTATGAAGGCCCTAAATAAGATCTGGTGCAACCAATTACCTTCAGAAGTCACATAATTAGTTAAATAAAGTCCATCTGTGTGCAATCTAAGTGTCACATGATCTCAGTGTATATATACACCTGTTATGAAAGGCCCCAGAGTCTGCAACACCACTAAGCAAGGGGCACCACCAAGCAAGCGGCACCATGAAGACCAAGGAGCTCTCCAAACAGGTTAGGGACAAAGTTGTGGAGAAGTACAGATCAGGGTTGGGTTTTTTAAAATATCCCAAACTTTGAACATCCCACGGAGCACCATTAAATCCATTATTAAAAAATTGAAAGAATATGGCACCACAACAAACCTGCCAAGAGAGGGCCGCCCACCAAAACTCATGGACCAGGCAAGGAGGGCATTAATCAGAGAGGCAACAAAGAGACCAAAGATAACCCTGAAGAAGCTGCAAATCTCCACAGTGGAGATTGGAGTATCTGTCCATAGGACCACTGTAAGCCGTACACTCCACAGAGCTGAGTGGCCAGAAAAAAAGCAATTTCTTAAATAAAAAAATTAGCAAACATGTTTGTTGTTTGCCAAAAGGCATGTGGGAGACTCCCCAAACATATGTAAGAAGGTACACTGGTCAGATGAGACTACAATTGAGCTTTTTGGCCATCAAGGAAAACGCTATGTCTGGCGCAAACCCAAAACCTCATCACCCCGAGAACACCATCTGCCATGGTGGTGGCAGCATCATGCTGTGTGGATGTTTTTCATTGGCAGGGACTGGGAAACTGGTCAGAATTGAAGGAAGGATGGATGGTGCTAATAAATACAGGGAAATTCTTGAGGGAAACCTGTTTCAGTCTTCCAGATATTTGAGACTGGGACGGAGGTTCACCTTCCAGCAGGACAATGACCCTAAGCATACTGCTAAAGCAACACTCAAGTGGTTTAAGGGGAAACATTTAAATGTCTTGGAATGGCCTAGTCAAAGCCCAGACCTCAATCCAATTGAGAATATGTGGTATGACTTAAAGATTGCTGTTCACCAGCGGAACCCATCCAACTTGAAGGAGCTGTAGCAGTTTTGCCTTGAAGAATGGGCAAAAATCCCAGTGGCTAGAAGTGCCAAGCTTATATTTTTTACATTTACATTTTAGTCATTTAGCAGACACTCTTATCCAGAGCGACGTACAGTTAGTGAGTGCATACATTTTCATACTGGACATACCCCAAGAGACTTGCAGCTGTAATTGCTGCAAAAGGTGGCTCTACAAAGTATTGACTTTGGGGGTGTGAATAGTTATGCACGCTCAAGTTTTCTTTTTTTTGTCTTATTTCTTGTTTGTTTCACAATAAAATGTATTTTGCATTTTCAAAATGGTAAGCATGGTGTGTAAATCGAATGATACAAACCCCCCAATGTAGACACTGACTAGCCGATGTGAGTAAGACTTTTAAGCAGGTCAACATTCACAAGGCCGCAGGGCCAGACGGATTACCAGGACGTGTACTCCGAGCATGTGCTGACCAACTGGCAAGTGTCTTCACTGACATTTTCAACATGTCCCTGACTGAGTCTGTAATACCAACATGTTTCAAACAGACCACCATAGTCCCCGTGCCCAAGAACTCTAAGATAACCTGCCTAAATGACTACCGACCCGTGGCACTGACGTCTGTAGCCATGAAGTGCTTTGAAAGACTGGTCATGGCTCACATCAACAGCATAATCCCAGAAACCCTAGACCCACTCCAATTTGCATACCGCCCCAACAGATCCACAGATGATGCAATCTCTATCGCACTCCACACTGCCCTTTCCCACCTGGACAAGAGGAACACCTACGTGAGAATGCTATTCATTGACTACAGCTCAGCATTCAACACCATAGTGCCCTCAAAGCTCATCACTAAGCTAAGGATCCTGGGACTAAACACCTCCCTCTGCAACTGGATCCTGGACTTCCTGACGGGCCGCCCCCAGGTGGTAAGGGTAGGTAACAACACATCTGCCACACTGATCCTCAACACGGGGGCCCCTCAGGGGTGCGTGCTCAGTCCCCTCCTGTACTCTCTGTTCACCCATGACTGCATGGCCAGGCACGACTCCAACACCATCATTAAGTTTGCCGACGACACAACAGTGGTAGGCCTGATCACCGACAACGATGAGACAGCCTATAGGGAGGAGGTCAGAGATCTGGCCGTGTGGTGCCAGGACAACAACCTCTCCCTCAACGTGACCAAGACAAAGGAGATGATTGTGGACTACAGGAAAAAAAAGAGGACTGAGCACGCCCCCATTCTCATCGACGGGGCTGTAGTGGAACAGGTTGAGAGCTTCAAGTTCCTTGGTGTCCACATCACCAACGAACTATCATGGTCCAAACACACCAAGACAGTCGTGAAGAGGGCACGACAAAGCCTATTCCCCCTCAGGAGACTAAAAATATTTGGCATGGGTCCTCAGATCCTCAAAAAATTCTACAGCTGCACCATCGAGAGCATCCTGACTGGTTGCATCACCGCCTGGTATGGCAACTGCTTGGCCTCTGACCGCAAGGCACTACAGAGGGTAGTGCGTACGGCCCAGTACATCACAGGGGCAAAGCTCCCTGCCATCCAGGACCTCTATACCAGGCGGTGTCAGAGGAAGGCCCTCAAAATTGTCAAAGACTCCAGCCACCCTAGTCATAGACTGTTCTCTCTGCTACCGCACGGCAAGCGGTACCGGAGTGCCAAGTCTAGGTCCAAAAGACTTCTCAACAGCTTCTACCCCCAAGCCATAAGACTCCTGAACAGCTAATCATGGCTACCCGGACTATTTGCACTGCCCCCCCACCCCATACTTTTTACGCTGCTGCTACTCTGTTAAGTATTTATGCATAGTCACTTTAACTCTACCCACATGTACATATTACCTCAACTACCTCAACTAGCCGGTGCCCCCGCACATTGACTATGCAACGGTACCCCCCTGTATATATAGCCTCCCTACTGTCACTTTATTCTATTGTGTATATATAGCCTCCCTACTGTCACTTTATTTTTACTTCTGCTCTTTTTTTCTCAACACTTTTTTTGTTGTTGTTTTATTCTTACTTTTTTTGTTTAAAATAAATGCACTGTTGGTTAAGGGCTGTAAGTAAGCATTTCACTGTAATGTCTGCACCTGTTGTATTCGGCGCATGTGACCAATAAAATTTGATTTGATTTGATTTGATTTGACTTTGAGAAGGGATTGCGTGACGATTAGCTTAGCAACCGCGTGATGCAGCATGACAACGTGAACGCGATTGGTCTACAGTCTGCTGGGTGGGGCGTTATATGTTCCTTCATTCATTGGATTGCTATCTCCTTTCTATAATATCTCTGGCAACGGCACCATGCAATGCACCCTGGACTAAAGAGGCAGAAAAATAGGAAAAATGTGCTAGACCCTCCGTTAAATTACAAATGTCTCGAGGTAGGAATATCGCGAAAATATGATCAATGGCTCATTCGAGAGAAGACATCCTCCTGAGTTATGACATCTGCCAGTATTGAAATCTGACATGTATGATAGACGTTTTTGCAATGTAAAAGTCGTATTCATATTAACTTCCAAATGGATTAACCTTTCCTTTAAGCAAAAACAACATTTGTTAGGTGCTTGCCTTATTAAATGGTGTTGTATCAAGCAGTGCTTTTACATGCATTTGGGAGGCAAGCTGCAGAACATTACCTGGTGACGCTCTGCCAACTTTGTTTTCACTCCTCCCCACACACACAACACCCGCTCTCTCTCTCTCGAATAGAGTAATGGACCTTTCAGTCTCCAGGGAGTATCAGTTCAGTATCCCATGGTGCGGAATGGGCTGACCTCCAAACGGCGGCGAGCAAGGAGGCTGCTGACAGAGGATTGGAAGGTAGAGGGAAAAAGAGAGACGGACACAGTTGATAAATCCATTTAACTGATACATAAAGTAGATAGATGAGGTGTCCGTGACAAACAGCGCCAGATAAACAGACTGATCTGGAGTGAATGATTGAGTCAAATGTCGCACGATAGATTGGTCGATAGGTAGATTAACGTATACTATTTGGTTCCAGATTTTTTATGTCAATTCAGATGGGTAGATTGCATGTCTCATTTCATGAAGGATTAGGCAAGGAGTCTGGTCATCATCAAAGTGATCAGTATGGATTAATGTTATGAGTTGATATTATGGGTTAGCCATCATCACACTTTAGGTACTGTATTTCCATGAAATGCCTTGCTACAGCTGTTGCGCAACACAATTGACCAGTCAACCATGTCAACCTCACCTGTACCTTACTGCAGCGAACCAAGACACAATTATCAAAGTCCATCCATACGCATGAGGGTGACATACACAGGTTATGCTTTCTCCCTGACCAGACCACTGATGACATAATCACAGGGGGTTAACACCACAGGCGAGGTGATGTTGCGTAAGATTCCCGCCGCACAGGCTCAGTACCACCTCTCCCCCACCTCCCCCACCCCCATAGGCACGCGACGCATGAGCTGCTATGGCGATGGAGCATGGGAAATGGGCAACGGAGCAGGGGAGTCATGTCATTGCCCACAGCTGGGTCTTAGCTCAGCATGCCATGCCACGCGGCCATTGGCACAGGCGTTTTGCATGGGATTCTGGGAATGCATTTTTGGAATGGTGTTTGGTTTTCCCTTTTGTAGTGGATTTGATTCGTGGAGGTGGTTGGGTGCATAGTCTTATATCATGATGAATTGTGATGCATAGGTGTGCATTGTTTCTGATTGGTTGATGGATGAAACGAAATAAGATAACGAGAACAGCTGTGGATACTGTATACATGCTGTATGACTGATGTTTATTCCATCAAATTTTGTGGAAATAGTACAAATATATTGCAGAAATGTTGCAGCTAGATATATCTCATCATATTCCGTGTTACATACTTGAGAATGACACTGGACAAATTGAAAATAATCAAATTGCTTAGTGGACATCATTTGTATTTCTGCAGGCAAGGCAGTGGTACGATTAACTCCCGAGTGGCGCAGTGGTCTAAGGCACTGCATCGCAGTGCTAGCTGTGCCACTAGAGATCCTGGTTCGATTCCAGGCTCTGTCGTAGCCGGCCGTGACCGGGAGACCCATGGGGCGGCGCACAATTGGCCCAGCGTCGTCCAGGGTAGGGGAGGGAATGGCCGGCAGGGATGTAGCTCAGGGATGTAGCTCAGTTGGTAGAGCATGGTGTTTGCAACGGCAGGGTTGTGGGTTCGATTCCCACTGGGGGGCCAGTATGAAAAAAAATAATGTATGCACTCACTAACTGTAAGTCGCTCTGGATAAGAGTGTCTGCTAAATGACTAAAATGTAAATGTAAATTAACAACAATTTGTTACAAGAGCATAATTTAGCAATAAGGCATGAGGGGGTGTGGTATATGGCCAATATACTATGGCTATGGACTGTTCTTATGCACGGCGCTACGTAGAGTTCCTGGATACAGCCTTTAGCCGTGGTACAGTGGCTTGCGAAAGTATTCACCCCCCTTGGCGTTTTTCCTATTTTGTTGCCTTACAACCTGGAATTAAAATTGATCTTTGGGGGGTTTGTATCATTTGATTTATACAACATGCCTACCACTTTGAAGATGCATTTTTTTTAAATTGGGAAACAAACAAGAAATAAGACAAAAAAAACTGAAAACTTGAGCGTGCATAGCTATTCACCCCCCCAAAGTCAATACTTTGTAGAGCCACCTTTTGCAGCAATTACAGCAGCAAGTCTCTTGGGGTATGTCTCTATAAGCTTGGCACATCTAGCCACTGGGATTTTTGCCCATTCTTCAAGGCAAAACTGCTCCAGCTCCTTCAAGTTGGATGGGTTCCGCTGGTGAACAGCAATCTTTAAGTCATACCACAGATTCTCAATTGGATTGAGGTCTGGGCTTTGACTAGGCCATTCCAAGACATTTAAATGTTTCCCCTTAAACCACTCGAGTGTTGCTTTAGCAGTATGCTTAGGGTCATTGTCCTGCTGGAAGGTGAACCTCCGTCCCAGTCTCAAATCTCTGGAAGACTGAAACAGGTTTTTCTCAAGAATTTCCCTGTATTTAGCGCCATCCATCATTCCTTCAATTCTGACCAGTTTCCCAGTCCCTGCCGATGAACACTGCCACCACCATGCTTCACTGTGGGGATGGTGTTCTCGGGTGATGAGAGGTGTTGGGTTTGTGCCAGACATAGCGTTTTCCTTGATGGCCAAAAAGCTCAATTTTAGTCTCATCCGACCTGAGTGCCTTCTTCCATATGTTTGGGGAGTCTCCCACATGCCTTTTGGCAAACACCAAACGTGTTTGCTTATTTTTTTCTTTAAGCAATAGCTTTTTTTCTGGCTACTCTTCCGTAAAGCCCAGCTCTGTGGAGTGTACGGCTTAAAGTTGTCCTATGGACAGATACTCCAATCTCCGTTGTGGAGCTTTGCAGCTCCTTCAGGGTTATCTTTGGTCTCTCTGATTAATGCCCTCCTTGCCTGGTCCGTAAGTTTTGGTGGGGCAGCCCTCTCTTGGCAGGTTTGTTGTGGTGCCATATTCTTTCCATTTTTTAATAATGGATGTAATGGTGCTCCGTGGGATGTTCAAAGTTTTCGGATATTCTTTTAAAACCCAACCCTGATCTGTACTTCTCCACAACTTTGTGGAGCGCTCCACCTGTTTGGAGCGCTCCTTGGTCTTCATGGTGCCGTTGCTTGATGGTGCCCCTTGCTTAGTGGTGTTGCAGACTCCGGGGCCTTTCATAACAGGTGTATATATACTGAGATCATGTGACAGATCATGTGACACTTAGATTGCACACAGGTGGACTTTATTTAACTAATTATGTGACTTCTGAAGCTAATTGGTTGCACCATATCTTATTTATGGGCTTCATAGCAAAGGGGGTGAATACATATGCACGCACCACTTTTCCGTTATTTATTTTTTAGAATTTTCTGAAACAAGTAATTTTTTTGATTTCACTTCACTAATTTGGACTATTTTGTGTATGTCCATTACATGAAATCCCAAAAAAAAATCCATTGAAATTACAGGTTGTAATGCAACAAAATAGGAAAAACGTCAATGGGGATGAATACTTTAGCAAAATACCACAAACCCCTGATGTGCCTTATTGCTATTATAAAATGGTTACCAACATAATTAGAACAGTAAAAATGTTTTGTCATACCCGTTGTATACAGTCAGAAATACCACTGCTTTCAGCCAATCAGCATTCAGGGCTCGAACCACCCAGTTTATAATTGCTCTTGGAGAACCGATACCTCAATCTCTGCAGAGAACAGATCGAGGATAGATGAGACATCCAAAATTACTCCATTCAAACCACGTTTCCATGACAACACTTATTGATAATTGTGTTTACTGAAGTTGATAGAAAAATGAAATACAAACCTTCTCTATAAATGTTAAAAAGCAGACATCATTAAAAGCCCACATATCCTTGCCCTCACCTGGCATATTCTTTCAATCAAATTCGAGAACGAGGGAGCGCAAATATAATTAATCAAAACAGTCTTCTTTACAAAGTGTATAGAAATTGCAAATAAATATGGAAATATAAAAGCGGAAGAAAGAGGAAGGCCTGTTATTATGTCTATTACTAAGCCACTCCAGAATACAAATCTGAGGGAGAATAATTGGCGGGAAAAGCAGACAAGAATGATCAATTTGCTGGTATATGGGAACACTTGAATGTTCATGTGAATCTATTTCTCATGGATACGTGTAGGTTTGCAATAGCAGACATGCCATTAATAGTAAACAGACAGATTGAAAGATCTAAAGATCACGAAAGAGGAAAACAAGAGTCAGTATGAATTCAGCTGGACGTTCAGGCTGTCTCACTAATGCTAATCTGCCAAAGTGAGCAGAGGAGGAGAAAGTCCACAGGCCTACTTAGTGCAGGCAGTCACTTGAGATAATTTACCCTGCCTTAGGCTCAGACACCTGCTACTGGTGCCTGCTTGGTGTGGGTGGGTGGGTGGGTGGCAAGGGGAGGTGTGTGTGGGGGTAAATGTGTGTGTGAGAGAGCATATACAGTGCCTTCAGAAAGTACTCACTCCCCTTGACATTTTCCACATTTTGTTGTGTTACAGCCTGAATTTAAAATGGATTAAATTGAGATTTTATGTTACTGGCCTACACAATACCCCATATAATGTCAAAGTGGAATGATGTTTTTAGAAATGTTTACTAATTAATAATGCATGAAAAGTTGAAATGTCTTGAGTCAATAAGTATTCAACTCCTTTGTAATGGCAAGCCTAAATAAGTTCAGGCATAAAAATGTGCTTAACAAGTCACATAATAAGTTGCATGGACTCACTCTGTGTGCAATAATAGTGCTATCTGTAAGGTCCCTCAGTCGAGCAGTGAATTTCAAACACAGATTCAACCACAAAGACCAGGTAGGTTTTCCAATGCCTCGCAAAGAATGGCACCTATTGGTAGATGGGTAAATATGAAAAGCAGCCATTGAATAATATCCCTTTAAGGATGGTGAAGTTATTAATTACACTTTGGATGGTCTATCAATACACCCATTCACTACAAAGATACAGTTGTCTTTCCTAACTCAATTGCCGGAGAGGAAGGAAACTGCTCAGGGATTTCACCATGAGGCCAATGGTAACTTTAAAACAGTTAAAAAGTTTAATGGCTGTGATGGGAGAAAACTGAGGATGGGATCAACAACATTGTAGTTACTCGACAATACTAACCTAATTGACAGAGTGAAAAGAAGGAAGCCTGTACAGAATCAAATATTCCAAAACATGCATCCTGTTTGTAACAAGGCAATTAAAGTAATACTGCAAAAAATATGGCAAAGCAATTCACTTTTTGTCCTAAATACAAAGTGTGATGTTTGGGTCAAACCCAATACAACACATTACTGAGTACCACTCTCCATATTGTCAAGCATAGTGGTGGCTGCATCATGTTATGGGTATGATTGTAGTCGTTAAGGACCGGGGAGTTTTCAGGATTAAAAAATTAACTAAATGGAGCTAAGCACAGGCAAAATCCTAGAGGAAAACATGGTTCAGTCTGCATTCCACCAGACACTGGGAGATTAATTTACCTTTCAGCAGGACAATAACCTAAAACACAAGGCCAAATATACGCAGGAGTTGCTTACCAAGATTACATTAAATGTTCCTTAGTGGCCTAGTTACAGTTATGACTTAAATCGGCTTGAAAATGTATGGCAAGACTTGAAAATGTCTGTCTAGCAATGATCAACAACCAACTGGACAGGGCTTGAAGAATTTTTAAAATGATAATGTAATGTGCAAATATTGTAAAATCCAGGTGTGCAAAGCTCTTAGAGACTTACCCAGAAAGACTCACGGCTGTAATCACTTTTTCAATATTGGGTTTCTAAAAACATGTTTTCACTTTGTCATTATGGGGTATTGTGTGTAGATGGGTGAGAAAAAAGTCTGTAACACAACAAAATGTGGAATAAGTCAAGGGGGTATGAATAGTTTCTGAAAGCACTGCTTTCGTTTCCCATTTCTGCATGTGAATGTGCAGATATGGGTAACGTAATGCAACAATGCATAATAATTGTCCTTGTGCCTCTTGAAGATTTTGGCAGCACATCATCACATGTATTATCCCTGTGACCCATTTGCAGCATATATGGAAATTGGTGCAGAGATGAAAATATGCCAGCATGCATTCCCAGTGGGGGGATCCACAGTAAGCTATACCATGTTATAGCAGGTATACTGTAGATATACAGTGGGGGAAAAAAATATTTAGTCAGCCACCAATTGTGCAAGTTCTCCCACTTAAAAAGATGAGAGACGCCTGTAATTTTCATCATAGGTACACGTCAACTATGACAGACAAAATGAGAATTGTTTTTCCAGAAAATCACATTGTAGGATTTTTAATGAATTTATTTGCAAATTATGGTGGAAAATAAGTATTTGGTCACCTACAAACAAGCAAGATTTCTGGCTCTCACAGACCTGTAACTTCTTCTTTAAGAGGCTCCTCTGTCCTCCACTCGTTACCTGTATTAATGGCACCTGTTTGAACTTGTTATCAGTATAAAAGACACCTGTCCACAACCTCAAACAGTCACACTCCAAACTCCACTATGGCCAAGACCAAAGAGCTGTCAAAGGACACCAGAAACAAAATTGTAGACCTGCACCAGGCTGGGAAGACTGAATCTGCAATAGGTAAGCAGCTTGGATAAAGAAATCAACTGTGGGAGCAATTATTAGGAAATGGAAGACATACAAGACCACTGATAATCTCCCTCGATCTGGGGCTCCACGCAATATCTCACCCCGTGGTGTCAAAATGATCACAAGAACGGTGAGCAAAAATCCCAGAACCACACAGGGGGGACCTAGTGAATGACCTGCAGAGAGCTGGGACCAAAGTAACAAAGCCTACCATCAGTAACACACTACGCCGCCAGGGACTCAAATCCTGCAGTGCCAGACGTGTCCCCCTGCTTAAGCCAGTACATGTCCAGGCCCGTCTGAAGTTTGCTAGAGTGCATTTGGTGATCCAGAAGAGGATTGGGAGAATGTCATATGGTAAGATGAAACCAAAATATAACTTTTGGTAAAAACTCAACTCGTCGTGTTTGGAGGACAAAGAATGCTGAGTTGCATCCAAAGAACACCATACCTACTGTGAAGCATGGGGGTGGAAACATCATGCTTTGGGGCTGTTTTTCTGCAAAGGGAGCAGGACGACTGATCCGTGTAAAGGAAAGAATGAATGGGGCCATGTATCGTGAGATTACATGGCCCCATTCTCATCTTTTTAAGTGGGAGAACTTGCACAATTGTTGGCTGACTTTTTTACCCCACTGTAACCTATTCATTAACACATAGACAACTAACTTCCTGGACAACAAAATAATTACATTAGCTACAGTAAGATACATTAGTTCTGAATTTATAAAATTCCCATTTCAAATTACTTACAGACATATTTATCAAGGTGTTTATAAAAGGATATTTTTAGTTAGGACATTACATTTTGGTCATTTAGCAGACGCTCTTAGTTGGTTGGCCAGAATTACATCTCTAAATTAATATGTCCCTATAGTCAGGTGATAGTCAGCCACATGTGACTGCTTTGTTCGTACACTGCAACAACATTTGATCTCCGGATATCTCCGGGTTGCCAACCTCGGTCATTCTTCTGTCAACTCAGGCCATCTGTGGAGGACAGGCACGGGAAGCGGCACAGTTGGCGTTGCCGATACCCTCCACTGTCTGGCGTGCCTGCTGTAATCTTGCCACCTGTTGCTATCTGGCCAGGGCAGAGTAGCAGTGCGTGCCAGAGGGTACCTAAGACATGGGATTCGACCTTCATACTGAGGCTGGCATGTTTTGGGCAAGGCCTGCCAGTCTTGGCCCTGTCAATAGTAACCGAGAGCTTCTTAATTGAATAAGAATGGCTAACCGGTAGATGCAGACTGACAGAGATACTGTTACTGGGGTTTGGGAACCAGCGGACTACTTAGGACACAACCTGTTGCCCTTTGACCTCTGTGTGTGTGTTTGTGTCTGCTACCTGGATTATAGCACTCCTGCTGAAGTATACTATTGTTCGCCCTATGCCTGAATTATTGGAACGCATTAATGGATGCATTGCCTTATTATCTACAGTACCAGTCAAAGGTTTGGACACACCTACTCATTCAAGGGTTTTTCTTTATTTTTACTATTTTCTACATAGTAGAATAATAGTGTAGACATCAAAACTATGAAATAACACATATGGAATCATGTAGTAACCAAAAAAGTGTTAAACAAATCAAAATATATGTTATATTTGAGATTCTTCAAAGTACCCACCCTTTGCCTGGATGACAGTGTTGCACACTGTTGCATTATCTCAACCAGCTTCATGAGGTAGTCACCTGGAATGCATTTCAATTAACAGGTGTGCCTTGTTAGAAGTTAATTTGTTGAATTTCATTCCTTCTTAATGCCTTTGAGCCAAACAGTTGTGTTGTGACAAGGTAGGGGGGTATACAGAAGATAGCCTATTTGGTAACAGACCAAGTCCATAGTATGGCAAGAACAGCTCAAATAAGCAAAGAGAAATTACAGTCCATCATTACTTTAAGACATGAAGGTCAGTCAAGTCGGAAAATGTCGAGAACTTTGAAAGTTTCTTCAAGTGCAGTCGCAAAAACCATGAAGCGCTACGATGAAACTGGCTCTCATGAGGACCGCCACAGGTAGACCAAGAGTTACCTCTGCTGCAGAGGATAAGTTCATTAGAGTTACCAGCCTCAGAAATTGCAGCCCAAATAAATGCTTCACAGAGTTCAAGTAACAGACACATCTCAACATCAACTGTTCAGAGGAGACTGCGTGAATCAGGCCTTCATGGTCGAATTGCTGCAAAAAAACACAACTAAAGGACACCAATATGAAGAGACTTGTTGGGCCAAGAAACACGAACAATGGACATTATACTGGTGGAAATCTGTCCTTTTGGTCTGATCAGTCCAAATTTGAGATTTTTGGTTACAACCGCCATGTCTTTGTGAGACGCAGAGTAGGGGAACGGATGATCTCTGCATGTGTGGTTCCCACCGTGAAGCATGGAGGAGGAGGTGTGATGGTGTGGGGATGCTTTGCTGGTGAAATGGTCAGTGATTTATTTAGAATTCAAGGCACACTTAACCAGCATGGCTACTACAGCATTCTGCAGCGATACGCCATGCCATCTGGTTTGGGCTTAGTGGGACTATTGTTTGTTTTTCAACAGGACAATGACCCAACACACCTCCAGGCTGTGTAAGGGCTATTTGACCAAGAAGGAGAGTGATGGAGTGCTGCAACAAATGACCTGGCCTCCACAATCACCCGACCTCAACCCCAATTGAGATGGTTTGGGATGAGTTGGACCGCAGAGTGAAGGACAAGCAGCCAACAAATGCTCAGCATATGTGGGAACTCCTTCAAGACTGTTGGAAAAGCATTCCAGGTGAAGCTGGTTGAGAGAATGCCAAGAGTGTGCAAAGCTGTCATCAAAGCAAAGGGTGGCTATTTGAAGAATCTTAAATATAAAATATATTTTGATTTGTTTAACACTTTTTGGTTACTACATGATTCCATATGTGTTATTTCATAGTGTTGATGTCTTCACAATTATTCTACAATGTAGATAATAGTAAAAATTAAGAAAAACCCTTGAATGAGTAGGTGTGTTCAATCTTTTGACTGGTACTGTATTTCCAATGCTCAGCTGCTGTTTCAGAAGCATTTATTGGAAACGGTTGTTTGCGTGCTCTATAATGCCCCTCTGATGTTGGCGGATTGGGGAAATGGCCTACATGCTTATTACATGTCTGGCGGACTCCCTACGTAGGGTAATAATTTCCATGGTGAGCCACCGACAAGACTGTGTCTAGAGTTTAGGATTAGAATAGGAATTTATTTTTCCTATGGACAAAGGCTTGCTCTGAACCAAGGGAGGGGAAACAATGGAAGCCTGTTAGGAATATAGCTTGAGATTTGCCACATGGCAGTATCGCTTGTTTTCTAGTTCTTTGCTAGGCTTTGAATACATGCTGTGCTGTTGTGTTTGTCACATTCAAATACAGTGTCCAACCAACTTCAGATGATGTGGTAGTTCCTTGTTGTTCGCCATCAATATTTTGTCCTGCACAGCTTTCAAATTTAGCCTGAGCTTTGCCTCACGGGTAGTAAACATAATGTTTACATCTATTTGAAGGGCAAACCTGCTTAGTTCTCACAACGGCCAGCGGGCTGACCTTGATATATCAGCCGTTTTGAAATGTGGCATATAGACATTCAATTCATGTGGTGGCATTTATGCATCACGTGGTGCATGTTTTCTATTCTCAACCAGAGGAGTCATTCATCATCTACATCAGTCTGTACCATGATCCAGAAATCATACACAGCTCACCTGTGTGGTTCCAGGGTATGGCAGGTGATTCTTCACTTAAGCCCACCACCGCCCCATCCATCTCGCCTGACACACGCAAAAAATATATATATATTCTGCCTAGAAGAGAAGCAGAGACCGATCGACTCAGCTCTGCCTTTTTTGTTGTTTTTGCATCTTTCTTTCTGATGTCGTGCTTGCAACTTAAGCTAACTCTTCGTCTGGCACTGAAAATTGCCCATGAACTTTAACTGTCCCAACCGAAACAGAGTTATCAGTAGAGTTGATCTGGGCCACTGTGGTTTCCTTTTGAAGAGTCCTTTTGAATCAGCCTGATATCAGCAGTGTTGGAGTTCTCGCTGAGAGGCTTTGTATTATCCAATCGGCCCTGGCTCTGTCGGTTCACAATGTTCAAATCCAAACCCTAGGCTTTTTGCCCAGGAGCGAGACAATGTGTTCTCCTTGTGAATCCCTTCTTCCCCCTTCACTCCCCTCCTTCTCTCCCTGCTTTCAACCTCTCCATGGTCATTTTGAGAGTGCAGTGTAACAGAAGCCTGACTGTCTCTGGCCCTGAGAAGGAGCTGGTGAGCTCTCAGCGCCCCTCATTTCAGGCTTGACAGGAAACTGTTGTCGTTTGTTGTACCACTGTGTGCATCTGTGTGTGTGCGCCCAGGTGTGCTTGAGAATATCCATGTAGCTTAATTTGTATGTGTGTATGCGTATTGAAGAAGCTGAGTGGGTGGGCGTGCGTGTATGTGAAAGTGTGTGCGACCACGTACTAGTGCATATGGCCTTCTCCCAGTGACATGTGACCTCAACAGCTGACCTCTCTAGTCTCGTGTAGCCGGATGAGGAATGAATTACCCAACAATACCCAGCCTCTATCCATTATAACCTCATCATGTCAGATGATATCAGAGTTTTACCGGATGTGTCGATGCATATTTTACCATAGAGACCCACTGACCGATTTGTGGGCCTGCCACAAAAGGCTCATTAAACGACATCATCATTTACCTCCCCGCTCCGGGGATACCGCTGCATAAATTGTGTCATTATAGAGAAAGGATGGATTGAGACAGCAAAAATAGTTTCTAGTGGTGTATCATTGAGCACTGTTTGATTGGTATGAATGGGTGTTGTGATGGATATAACTGGGTTAGTTTGTTTAAAAGAGTGTGTCATAGGCTTTGCTTTTGACCTGGTGTTTTGATGATCTAACGTTCAATTACGTACTATGATATTCATGTATAACAATATGTAATATGTAGTTCATTAAAAAAAACGAATTCAACCAATCATATAATAAACGCTTCAACATACTCTACGTCTATCAATGAGTCTTTCCCAGTCAAAGTGCCTATTATGTTGATGGTAGCATCAGTGGTGTAAAGTACTTAAGTAAAAATACTTTAAAGTACTACTTAAATAGTATTTGGAGCATCTGTACTTTACTATTTATATCTTTGATAACGTTTACTTTTACTCCACTACATTCCTAAAGAAAATAATGTACTTTTTACTCCCATACATTTTCCCTGATACCCAAAAGTACTCGTTATATTTTGAATGCTCAGACAGGACAGCAATATGGTCCAATTTATGCACCTACAGTGAGGGAAAAAAGTATTTGATCCCCTGCTGATTTTGTACATTTGCCCACTGACAAAGAAATGATCAGTCTATAATTTTAATGGTAGGTTTATTTGAACAGTGAGAGATAGAATAACAAAACAAAAATCCAGAAAAACGCATGTCAAAAATGTTATAAATTGATTTGCATTTTAATGAGGGAAATAAGTATTTGACCCCCTCTCAATCAGAAAGATGTCTGGCTCCCAGGTGTCTTTTATACAGGTAACGAGCTGAGATTAGGAGCACACTCTTAAAGGGAGTGCTCCTAATCTCAATTTGTTACCTGTATAAAAGACACCTGTCCACAGAAGCAATCAGTCAATCAGATTCCAAACTCTCCACCATGGCCAAGACCAAAGAGCTCTCCAAGGATGTCAGGGACAACATTGTAGACCTACACAAGGCTGGAATGGGCTACAAGACCATCGCCCAGCAGCTTGTTGAGAAGGTGACAACAGTTGGTGCGATTATTCGCAAATGGAAGAAACACAAAATAACTGTCAATCTCCCTCGGCCTGGGGCTCCATGCAAGATCTCACCTCGTGGAGGTGCAATGATCATGAGAACGGTGAGGAATCAGCCCAGAACTACACGGGAGGATCTTGTCAATGATCTCAAGGCAGCTGGGACCATAGTCACCAAGAAAACAATTGGTAACACACTACGCCGTGAAGGACTGAAATCCTGCAGCGCCCGCAAGGTCCCCCTGCTCAAGAAAGCACATATACAGGCCGGTCTGAAGTTTGCCAATGAACATCTGAATGATTCAGAGGAGAACTGGGTGAAAGTGTTGTGGTCAGATGAGACCAAAATTGAGCTCTTTGGCATCAACTCAACTCACCATGTTTGGAGGAGGAGGAATGCTGCCTATGACCCAAAGAACACCATCCCCACCATCAAACATGGAGGTGGAATCATTATGCTTTGGGGGTGTTTTTCTGCTAAGGGGACAGGACAACTTCACTGCATCAAAGGGACGATGGACGGGGCCATGTACCGTCAAATCTTGGGTGAGAACCTCCTTCCCTCATCCAGGGCATTGGAAATGGGTCATGGATGGGTATTCCAGCATGACAATGACCCAAAACACACGGCCAAGGCAACAAAGGAGTGGCTCAAGAAGAAGCACATTAAGGTCCTGGAGTGGCCTAGCCAGTCTCCAGACCTTAATCCCATAGAAAATCTGTGGAGGGAGCTGAAGGTTCGAGTTGCCAAACGTCAGGCTCGAAACCTTAATGACTTGGAGAAGATCTGCAAAGAGGAGTGGGACAAAATCCCTCCTGAGATGTGTGCAAACCTGGTGGGCCAACTACAAGAAACTTCTGACCTCTGTGATTGCCAACACGGGTTTTGCCACCAAGTACTGGGTCATGTTTTGCAGAGGGGTCAAATACTTATTTCCCTCATTAAAATGCAAATCAATTTATAACATTTTTGACATGTGTTTTTTCCTGGATTTTTTTGTTGTGATTCTGTCTCTAACTGTTCAAATAAACCTACCATTATAGACTGATCATGTCTTTGTCAGTGGGCAAACGTACAAAATCAGCAGGGGATCAAAATTTTTTTCCCTCACTGTATATTGATATAACGTGTTGTCGTCCCTATTGCCTCTGATGTGGCGGACTCACTAAATACAAATACTGCACTTGTAAAATGATGTCTGAGTGTTGGAGTGTACCCTTGTCTGTCCGTTAATTTTAAAAACAAGAAAATATTGCTCTCTGGTTTGCTTAATATAACGAAGTTTATGTATAGCTTTTACCTTGTACTTTTACTCAAATATGACAATTGAGTACTTTTTTCACCACTACTTAAGTACATTTAAAACCTGATACTTTTAGACACTTACTCAATTAGTATTTCTGTCTGTAATGAAGCCCTTTTGTGGGGAAAAAATCATTATGATTGGCTGGGCCTGGCTCCCCAGTGGGTGGGCCTATGCCCTCCCAGGCCCAACCATGGCGGCGCCCGTACCCAGTCATGTGAAATCCATAGATTAGGGCCTAATTTATTTATTTCAAGTCACTGATTTCCTTCTATGAACTAAATACACTGAGTATACAAATCATTAAGAACACCTTCCTAATATTGAGTTGCACCCCCCCCCCTTTGCACTCAACAGCCTCAATTCATCGGGCATGGACTCTAAAAGGTGTCAAAAGATGGACCATTCTAGATACACATGGGAAACTGTTGAGCGTGAAAAACCCAGCAGCGTTGCAGTTCTTGACACGCTCAAACCGGTGCGTCTGGCACCTACTACCATACCCCGTTCAAAGGCACTTAAATCTTTTGTCACCCTCTGAATGGCACACAAACACAATCCATGTCTCAAGTCTTAAAAATCCTTCTTTAACATGTCTCCTCCTCTTCATCTACACTGATTGAAGTGTATTTAACAAGTGACATCACTAAGGGATCATAGCATTCACTTGGTCAGTCTGTCATGGAAAGAGCAGGTGTTCTTAATGGTTTGTACACTGTGTGTGTGTGTGGGTGTGTGTGTGTGTGTGTGTGTGTGTGTGTGTGTGTGTGTGTGTGTGTGTGTGTGTGTGTGTGTGTGTGTGTGTGTGTGTGTGTGTGTGTGTGTGTGTGTGTGTGTGTGTGTGTGTATGTATACACTACCAGTGAAACATTTTAGAACACCTACTCATTCCAGGGTTTTTACTATTTTTTACATTGTAGAATAATTGTGAAGACATCAAAACTATGAAAAAACATATATGGAATCATGTAGTAACCAAAAAGTGTTAAACAAATCAACATATATTTTATATTTGAGATTCTTCAAATAGCCACCCTTTGCCTTGATGACAGCTTAAATTGGACTAAGATGGTGGTTCAAAAATGGTCATAGGTGCATCTCTAATAGGAAAAGAAGAACAGCTGCTGAAGATTATTGCCAAAAATGTTGCCACTTAACATTTGACATGTCAGAAAGTATTTTGAATTGTACTTATTTTTGACATCATTTGTACTCTGCACCTGTGGAAGTTTGCTGGATGTTCTTAGTATACTGCGTACACCATATTTTACAATTTAGTAATTTAGCAGATGCTCTTATCCAGCGCGACTTAGTTAGTGCATTCATCTTAAGATAGCTAGGTGGGACAGCCACATCACAGGCATAGTAAGTACACTTCCTCAATAAAGTAGTTATCAGCAAAGTCAGAGCTAGAAGGGGATGAGGGGGAGTCAAGTGCAAGTGTTGATTCAGGAGGGGGTCAAGGTGAGAAGGGGGATTATTTAAGATACTATTTGAAGTATACTATTTGAGGTAGGGTTTCAGAAGTTTTCAGAAGATGGGCAGGGACTCTGCTGTCCTAGCATTAGGGGGAAGCTGGTTCCACCATTGGGGTGCCAGGACAGAGAAGAGCTTGGACTGGGCTGAGCGGGAGCTGGCCTCCCGTAGGGGTGGGAGGGCCAAGAGACGAGAGGTGGTAGAACGGAGTGCTTGTGTTGGGTTGTAGGGTTTGAGCATAACCTCAAGGTAGGGAGGGGCACTTCCTCTTGCTGCTCCGTAGGTCCATGGTCTTGTAGTGGATGCGAGCTTAGACTGGAAGCCAGTGGAGTGTGCGGAGGAGCGGGGTGACATGGGAGAACTTGGGAAGGTTGAAAACCATGCGGGCTGCAGCACTCTGTATAAGTTGCAGGGGTTTGATGGTACAAGCGGGGAGCCCAGCCAACAGCGAGTTGCATTAGTCCAGACGGGATATGACAAGTGCCTGGGTTAGGACCTGCGTCATTTCCTGTGTGAGGTAGGGTCATACTTTACGGATGTTGTAGAGCTTAAACTTGCAGGAGCGAGTCACTGCTTTGATGTTTGCAGAGAACGACAGGGTGTTGTCCAGGGTCACTCCAAGGTTCTTTACACTCTGGGAGGGCAACACTGTGGAGTTATCAACCATGATGGAGATGTCTTTCAGCGGGCATGCCTTCCCCGGGAGGAAGAGCAGCTCCGTCTTGTTGAGCTTGAGGTGGTGGGCTGACATCCAAGTTGAGATATCTGCCAGGCATGCAGAAATGTGTGTTGCTACCTGGGTGTCAGAAGGGTAGTTGAGTGTCATCCGCATAGCAATGATAGGAGAGAAAAGGAGAGGGCCTAGAAGTGAGCCCTGGGGGACACCAGTAGTGAAAGTACATGGTGTAGACACGGATCCTTGCCACATCACCTGGTGACGTGGAGAGGATGAAACCTACTTTTTATCCTCTTTTATCCTACACTACTTTTGAAACAAACATCTCTCTCAAAATATTTTTCTCCTTTCCAAGTGTGCTTGTCTGTTGGCCAATGGAATCATACCATTCTGAGGTTTTACTGACCTAGTGAAGCTTGAAATAAGAACACTAAACCAACATAGCAAAAGTAAAGAGGTCACTCAAGCACTGCACAACACTCATATCTCCAAGGCCATTGTTGGTTTCTTTGTTCTGAGCAGAACATTTTAGGCATTCCAGGCTACCATGTATAAGGTTAAGGATGACTCCCTCTAAGAATACAAAGTGAAGATAACATTTCTATTCACATAGCCGTGAACTTGAACCCTTGAATCTTTATTTTTTTGCTCCTAGATAAAATGAGGAACCGACAGAGCACAACAAAATGTCCTTGTAAAGGTGGTGAGACGAGACTTCTTCCAAAACATGAGTGTCTACTGACCCGTTTGTCTTTTTGTAATTGCTTCATGCGAAATACACAACTTTGCTCAAGGACATAGTTGAGCTTTCTTTATTTCTCAGCCCTCCTCTGCCTCTTATAGTGGACTGTGGGAACAGGTTTTAGAATATAGTATATCCCTAACAACATTACTTAGAATAGCCAAGCAGTTTATTAGCCAATAGCCAAGCAGTTTATTAGCCAGTAGCCAAGCAGTTTATTAGCCAATAGCCAAGCAGTTTATTAGCCAATAGCTAAGCAGTTTACTGGTCATCATTTAACCATTATTTTATTTCATGACTCACTAGGTGCTGTGCTGGTTTTTATTTAAAAATATACAGTACATATAAATAAAATATGTTTTATTGTCACAGTGAAATGTGTTGTTTTACAGGGTCAGCCATAGTAGTACGGTGCCCCTGGAGAAAATGTAGGGTTAAGTGCCTTGCTCAAGGACACATCGGCAGATGTTTCACCTTGTCGGCTCCGATATTCAAACCAGTTACATTTTGGTTACTTGCCCAACACTCTAATCGCTAGGTTACCTGCCGCCCGATAATTCCTGGCGCTCAATAATTTTCCAACCATAATTCCTGGCTCTCAGACAACCTACTCTAGTGACTGTGATGTCAGTATTGCCCTATAACTAGGGGAAAGGGCACAACTAAATCTTTCATCATTTAGTGAATAGTTGATAGATTTTCAACCTCTTAAATTCATCCTTTTCTCGTAAAGGGGTTTTATAATTCAACGCTCTCATACAAGAATCGGAAACTTGGAGCTTTGCTTTGACAATGCAAGAGCATTAGGCCTAGTTCTTATTTGACATGTAGATGTAGATTGAATATCTACTATTGGAGCATTGTTAGTATGTTATGTGGTGAACTCATCTTTGTATGGTCATGGTAGCAATAGTCTCATTGTGGTATTGTGCAATTCGAAAAAACTATTATTTGAGGGTCTGTTCATTGGTAAACATTGACCTGGGTTTGGGGTCATGGTTTGAGGTCATGGTTGGTATGTGTTGCCTGCTTCCTCTGAAAATATCTCTGAAATATTAAAGGGGCAATCTGTAGTTGCTACATCCATTTTTTGACATATAAAATCATGAAATATACCCATTGATTCTTGATGAATATAACTTATAATTCCTCATGAGCTAAGTGTGACACCCTGTCAGAACCCAAAAGCTTGTTTTACTACAATGTGTATAAACATTGTAAATATAAAGAAACTCTGTATAACCTCTAAACATTGTTAAAACTATAATTGTGATATTATGGATGGTCAGTCATTGGATCCATAGTTCTGTCTATGAATTTGAGTGGTTCAATTTCTCCAGGCCCGCTTTTTACCAAAGCAGAGGCGGGTTGTCCACCTTGTTATTGTTTCAACTGCAGATTGGCCATTAAAGTATTTGGCCTGTAACATAAAACATGGGGAAAAGATAGCTGACTTAACAAGGTCCCAGGGAATTCAAAATGCCTGCCCTGAATGCTGCCAATCATTTAAATTTTTAAATTTTTGTCATTTAGCAGGCTCTCTTATCCAGAGCGACTTACAGGAGCAATTAGGGTTAAGTGCCTTGCTCAAGGGCACATCGACAGCTTTTTTGCCTATATTTCTCCAGACATAGCGCTTTGCGTTCATGCCAAAGAGTTACATTTTTGTCTCATCAAACCACAGAATCTATTGCCTTATGCTATCAAGAGTCTTTAATGTGCCTTTTTCAAACTCCAGGCGTGCTGTCATGTGCCTTTTTCTATATTTTTTCAATTTCCCAATGATGGAGACCACTGCTCTAGGAAACATTCAACATTATTTTATACATTTCCTCAGATATATGCCTCATCACAATTCTGCCTCTGAGATCTACGGACAGTTCCTTGGACTTCATGGTATAGTTTCTGCTCTGACAGTGGGACCTTGTATAGACAGTTGTGTTTCTTTCTAAATCATGTCCAAACAATTCAATTGGCCACAGGTGGACTCCAATCAAGTTGTAGTGACATCTCAAGGATGATCAAAGGAAATTGGATGCACCTGAGCTCAATTTGGAGTGTCATAGCAAAAGGGTGTGAATACTTATGTAAATTAGATATTTCAGAATTTCATTTTCAAACAAATTTGCTAAAATGTCTAAAAACACGTTTTCACTTTGGGTTATTGTGTGTAGATTTTTTTGTATAAAAAAAAAAAATCTAATCCATTTTGAATTCAGGCTATAACACAACAGCATGTGAAATAAGTCAAGGGGTATGAATACTTTCTGAAAGCACTGTAGGCTCATAGGGCTCTGGTCAAAAGTAGTGCACTATATAGGGAATAGAGTGCCATTTTGGACATAACCATACACCCTCAGCCCAAAAGAGGTCCTTCACAATGCGTTTCAAGGGAAATTGAAAGCGGCTAGCCACACAAGTGTTCGTGTGTGATACGAGAGATACTCATCGCTATCTCTTAAAAATGGATGAATAAATAGAAAGCATCATAAGTAAGTAAATGTAACGATAAGTAAGTAAATGTAACGATGTGCTCTGTGCTATTTTCACCACCATCACTCCAAATGGTAATTTCTGCGGAAGGAGGCAAGGAGCCATTGTGAATTGTAGCACAGATTAACGTTAATGCGTTACTGTCATTGCTGATGGTAATGTCTTTGACGCAGCAGAAATGTTAGACCTAGTTCTGCGTTCATTCGCTTTTGATTGGCGGGTAGAAGAAGAGTTACACTACCGGTCAAAAGTTTTAGAACACCTACTCATTCAAGGGTTTTTCTTTATTTTTACTATTTTCTACATTGTAGAATAATAGTGAAGACATCAAAACTATGAAATAACACATATGGAATCATGTAGTAACCAAAAAAGTGTTAAACAAATCAAAATATATTTTATATTTGAGATTCTTCAAATAGCCACCCTTTGCCTTGATAATAGCTTTGCACACTCTTGGCATTCTCTCAACCAGCTTCACCTGGAATGCTTTTCCAACAGTCTTGAAGGAGTTCCCACATATGCTGAGCACTTGTTGGCTGCTTTTCCTTCACTCTGCGGTCCAACTCATCCCAAACCATCTCAATTTGGTTGAGGTCGGGGGATAGTAGAGGCTAGGAAATCTGATGCAGCACTCCATCACTCTCCTTCTTGGTAAAATAGCCCTTACACAGCCTGGAGGTGTGTTGGGTCATTGTCCTGTTGAAAAACAAACAATAGTCCCACTAAGCCCAAACCAGATGGGATGGCGTATCGCTGCAGAATGCTGTGGTAGCCATGCAGGTTAAGTGTGCCTTGAATTCTAAATAAATCACAGAGGGTGTCACCAGCAAAGCACCCCCACACCATAACACCTCCTCCTCCATGCTTTACGATGGGAAATACACATGCGGAGATCATCCGTTCACCCACACCGCGTCTCACAAAGACACGGCGGTTGGAACAAAAAATCCCCAATTTGGACATATTTCTACTGGTCTAATGTCCAATGCTCGTGTTTCTTTGTCCAAGCAAGTCTCTTCTTCTTATTGGTGTCCTTTAGTAGTGGTTTCTTTGCAGCAATTCGACCATGAAGGCTTGATTCAAACAGTCTCCTCTGAACAGTTGATGTTGAAATGTGTCTGTTACTTGAACTCTGTGAAGCATTTATTTGGGCTGCAATTTCTGAGGCTGCTAACTCTAATGCACTTATCCTCTGCAGCAGAGGGAACTCTGGGTCTTCCATTCCTGTGGTGGTCCTCATGAGAGCCATTTTCATCATAGCCCTTGATGTTTTTTGCGACTGCACTTGAAGAAACTTTCAAAGTTCTTGAAATGTTACGTATTGACTGACCTTCATGTCTTTGGATTGTTGTTTCTCTTTGCTTATTTGAGCTGTTCTTGCCATAATATGGACTTGGTCTGTTACCAAATAGGCTATCTTCTGTATACCCCCCTACCTTGTCACAACGCAACTGATTGGCTCAAGTGCATTAAGAAGGAAAGAAATTCCACAAATTAACTTTTAAGAAGGCACACCTGTTAATTGAAATGCATTTCAGGTGACTACATGAAGCTGGTTGAGAGAATGCCAAGAGTGTGCAAAGCTGTCATCAAGGCAAAGGGTGGCTATTTGAAGAATATATTTTGATTAGTTTAACACTTCTTTGGTTACTACATGATTCCATATGTGTTATTGTATAGTTTTGATGTCTTCACTATTATTCTACAATGTAGACAATAGTAAAAATAATGAAAAACCCTTGAATGAGTAGGTGTTGTAAAACTTAGTGTATATGACACATTAGGGTGGGTGGGTGTGTGTACATGTATGCACAAAATGTGTATTTTCAACAGTGGCTGTATACATTTAAGCATGATATGCACGTATGTTTTGTGAGCAGGCAAAAGTACTATAGGACATTATTAAATGTGCATTACGATGAGGGAAAACGCTGCCTCTGTGCCTCCTGTTAGCTTGATTAAATAGGATTCTGGTTAAGGCAGTCTTTATTGATGGAGTAGCCCCACAGCAGTCGACGGATACCTAGGGATCTTAAAAACACTACAACTCACTGTTTGTTGGAGAGAATATAGCCTTGAAACTGTTTTATTTACCACTAGAAAGAAAAAAACATATTTAATCATAGCAGGATACCTTTGTTTGTTGTTGAATGTCATTGAATGTTTTTCACTGCTGATTGTAATTCTTACCCTTTAATCAAGGACTTATTTAGACCTGGGACACCAGGTGGGTGTTAATTATCAGGTAGAACAGAAAATCAGCAGAAGTCCAGACCTCCGGACCTCCAGGCTGGATATAAATACCCCTGCCATAGGCCTACACATTGTCAATGTAACATGCTTTACACTTTCACAAAGGCCCCTGTACTACTTCATTTAGTTTTTAGGGTATTTTCAGACTTTATGGAATAGATAGAAAGAGAGGATGACAGTGAGGGAAGATGGACAGAGGTCAAAGGGTAGTAGGTCGTCACCGTAGACATTTGTGCCAGAGACTGCATCATTGCCGCTAGACCAGCCAGGCCACACAAAGGACCCTGTTTTAATCCTGTACTATCCCCCTTTATTGTAGGATGGTATCAGCATCATCTATCATACTTGTCACTTTTGCTGCACTTAACTATTTGTAGAAGAGCAAACGCCTGCTTCATGATTGCATTTGGAATGGATTGCCGCATCAGAGTGGCTATGGGGCCTGACCTCTATTCTCCAGAGAGCTAGGTTTCCTAGGGTCCTACCCAATGTTGGTCCTACCTCCTATATCCTGGGTCCCACTAAGACACAATATAATGGCCACAGAGGTGAGAGTTAGAGGGACAGCTCCCTTATAAGAGTGTGTGTGTGTGTGTTGTTGTCCGTGATTTACCTGCACTCTCCCTCTCCCACTGTTTGCTGGAGTGTTATGAGGCCTGACCTTACCCTCCTGGCTCTAACCCTTTACAGCTAAGCCTAGACCACACAGTCATAAGATGCTCATTGCTAAATACAATCAGGGAGAGCGGGGGAGGGAGGAGAGCAGAGGGGGGCTTTAGCTGAAATGATTGATGAGCATATCATGGGGGATTGTAATGATGTGGTGTGGTGTGTGTTTGTGTGTGTGTGTGTGTGTGTGTGGTGGGGGTAGGGGGGTGTGTTTGCTCCCACATATGTTTGTTTTTGTAGATCTGCCTACGGGTGTGTTTGCCTGTGTGATAGCTAAGGGGTGAGTGTGTGTGTGTGTGTGTGTGTGTGTGTGTGTGTTTGGAAGCAAGCCCTTAACTCAAGACCTCAGGGAAACAAGATCATAAGAGAATCTTTAATGTGTATCTGCAATTGCTAATAACCCATCCGTAACCGCCCAACTATATGTGATAAAGTGACAATCTGAGGCCTGCACCCGATCCTAGCCCGCTAATATAGAAAATGCACTGTATGCTACAGTCAGAGATGGCGGAATGATTTGTTGACGGGGTGCAGGATTTTCTTTTGCCTAATATGTTTCTGTTTATCATTTCCGACATTTTGGGAGGCTAGTTGTTAGTCAACTTGTCTATAATTAGATACATGCAGCATCTCTTCTGTCATTATGTTGCTCTAGAAGACTAAATAAATAAACCATTGCTCACCAGAATGTCATAAATTGACATTATTCAACAAAATTGACAAAAGCTTTGACAAAGGCCTTGAGGCCAATACATAAAGCTTAATAAAGAACAGTAAAACTGGCAAGAGCAGTGTGGGTTTGTCTTTTATTTCATAAATCGATAGAATGAAATGAATGCTTCAATCTACACTGAACAAAAATATAAACACAACATGTAAAGTGTTGGTCCCATGTTTCATGAGCTGAAATAAAGGATCAGATACATTTTCCATATCCACAAAAATAGTATTTATTTTGTGTACACATTTGTTTATACCCTGTTGGTGAACATTTCTCCTTTGCCAAGATAATCCATCCACCTGACAGGTATGGCATATCAAGAAGCTGATTAAACAGCATGATCATTACACAGGTGCACCTTGTGCTGGAGACAATAAAAGGATACTCTAAAATGTGCAGTTTTGTCACACAACACATTGCCACATACATCTTCAGTTTTGAGGGAGTGTGCAATTGGCATGCTGACTGCAGGAATGTCTACCAGAGCTGTTGCCAGATAATTGAATGTTCATTTTTCTACCATAAGCCAACTCCAACATTGTTTTAGAGAATTTGGCAGGACGTTTAACCGGCCTCACTAATGCAGACCACATGTATTGGGTCGTGTGGGCGAGTGGTTTGCTAATGTCAACGTTGTGAACAGAATGCCCCATGGTGGCAGTGGGGTTATGGTATGGGCAGGCATAAACTACGGACAACGAACAGAATAGCATTTTATCGATGGCAATTTGAATGCACAGAAATACCTTGAGGAGATCCTGAGGCCCATTTTTATTTTTTTGTGGGGGGGGGGGGGGATCTGTGACCAACAGATGCATATCTGTATTCCCAGTCATGGGAAATCCATAGATTGGGGCCACATTTTTATTTATTTAATTGACTGATTTCCTCAGATGAACTATAACTCAGTCAAATCTTTGATATTTTTGCATGCTGCGTATATATTTTTGTTCAGTATAGTTGACATCAGTGAAGTTTTCTGTCATCTCTGCTTCTTTCGCGGAGCAAACATTACTTTACTGACCCTCCCTTATCTTTATTTTCAACTCTCCATTTCGCAACTTTTCTCTTATTGAATTAAACACCAACATTGTCCTTTTTGCATTTGGTGATTGGCATGTAGGCTGTTTGGCGTGCGTACAGTTTGGCCCTAAACCTTATAGACTTACGCACAAATGCCAGATAGCCTAAAAATAATGAAAGAAAAACCTCAACGTAGCCTATAGCTATGAATTGCACGAGTCATACATTTCTGAATTTTTTATGTATTGTTTTCTCTTTATTCAACCCACCTGCCACCTACCCGCCCTTCATCCACACAATATTTAATGACTCTAAACCCACGTATCACTAATCTGCGCCGCGGGGAGACAAAGAAAAACAATGTCATACGACACCATTGTCTTCCTCCTCCCCACCTGGAATTACACACAGCTACAATACTGTTATTGACTTGCTATGCAGAAAGACTTGGTATGTACACAAACACACATTTTAAATATTTTTTTAATCCACAAATCACATTACATCATAAAGGATTCAAACATTTCAAAGGCCGTTGATGCAAGGACACTTAAGGAAACAAAAAGCACCTTCTCCTCCACATAGCTACAGTGAGGGAAAAAAGTATTTGATCCCCTGCTGATTTTGTACGTTTGCCCACTGACAAAGAAATGATCAGTCTATATTTTTAATGGTAGGTTTATTTGAACATTGAGAGACAGAAATAACAAAAATAAAATCCCAGAAAACGCATGGTCAAAAATGGTTATAAATTGGATTTGCATTTTAATGAGGGAAATAAGTATTTGACCCCCCTCTCAATCGAAAAGATTTTCTGGCTCGCAGGTGTCTTTTTATACAGGTAACGAGGCCTGAGATATAAATAGATAATAATATAATATGCCCATTTGCATAGACGCTTTTATCCAAAGCGACTTACATCAATGCGTGCATAAGTTTTTTTTGTTACCTGTATAAAAGACACCTGTCCACAGAAGCAATCAATCAATCAGATTCCAAACTCTCCACCATGGCCAAGACCAAAGAGCTCTCCAAGGATGTCAGGGACAGGATTGTAGGCCTACACAAGGCTGGAATGGGCTACAAGACCATCGCCAATCAGCTTGGTGAGAAGGTGACAACAGTTGGTGTGATTATTCGCAAATGGAAGAAACACAAAATAACTGTCAATCTCCCTCGGCCTGGGGCTCCATGCAAGATCTCACCTTGTGGAGTTGCAATGATCATGAGAACGGTGAGGAATCAGCCCAGAACTACACGGGATGATCTTGTCAATGATCTCAAGGCAGCTGGGACCATGGTCACCAAGAAAACAATTGGTAACACACTATGCCGTGAAGGACTGAAATCCTGCAGCGCCCGCAAGGTCCCCCTGCTCAAGAAAGCACATATACAGGGCCGTCTGAAGTTTGCCAATGAACATCTGAATGATTCAGAGGAGAACTGGGTGAAAGGGTTGTGGTCAGATGAGACCAAAATCGAGCTCTTTGGCATCAACTCAACTCGCCATGTTTGGAGGAGGAGGAATGCTGCCTATGACCCCAAGAACACCATCCCCACCGTCAAACATGGAGGTGGAAACATTATGCTTTGGGGCGTGTTTTTCTGCAAAGGGGACAGGACAAATTCACCACATCAAAGGGACGATGGACGGGGCCTTGTAACGTCAAATCTTGGGTGAGAACCTCCTTCCCTCAGCCAGGGCATTGAACATGGGTCATGGATGGGTATTCCAGCATGACAATGACCCAAAACACACGGCCAAGGCAACAAAGGAGTGGCTCAAGAAGAAGCACATTAAAGTCCTGGAGTGGCCTAGCCAGTCTCCAGACCTTAATCCCATAGAAAATCTGTGGAGGGAGCTGAAGGTTCGAGTTGCCAAACGTCAGCCTCGAAACCTTAATGACTTGGAGAAGATCTGCAAAGAGGAGTGGATCAAAATCCCTCCTGAGATGTGTGCAAACCTGGTGGCCAACTACAAGAAACATCTGACCTCTGTGATTGCCAACAAGGGTTTTGCCACCAAGTACTAAGTCATGTTTTGCAGAGGGGTCAAATACTTATTTCCATCAGTAAAATGCAATTCAATTTATAACATTTTTGACATGCGTTTTTTCTGGATTATTTGTTGTTATTCTGTCTCTCACTGTTCAAATAAACCTACCATAAAAATTATAGACTGATCATGTCTCTGTCAGTGGGCAAACGTACAAAATCAGCAGGGGATCAAATACTTTTTTCCCTCACTGTAGGCTCCCCCATAACAGCTGAAACACAGCAGTACCTTCTCCTCCACACAGCTCCCCCAAAACAGCTGAAACAGAGCAGTACCTTCTCCTCCACACAGCTAGGCTCCCCCATAACGGCTGAAACAGAGCAGTACCTTCTCCTCCACACAGCTAGGCTCCCCCATAATGGCTGAAACAGAGCAGTACCTTCTCTTCCACACAGCTCCCCCATAATGGCTGAAACAGAGCAGTACCTTCTCCTCCACACAGCTAGGCTCCCGCATAAAGACTGAAACAGAGCAGTACCTAGTCAGTTGTTTTGTACTACTCTTAGGCAGGCATGGAATCTGAAGGCCACGTACCGAAAGCCTAAGTGGTTCAGACTACCAAATATCAATGCTTCTGCATCACAGGCCGTCCAAGTGTGATATGAGGGGCTGCTATTTAAGGAGCTTTTCAGAAAAGTCCTGCTCCATGTAACAGTTCAGTGAGCAGCCCACTCATCACCTCCCTCTGGCGTCCCCCACAACAACAATCTCTGGCTTATTCGCCAGACAAGAAAACACATTATCATTAAGCTCAAACCAGGTTCCTCTGACAAGTGAATGTCTGTGAGTCTGTGCTGTTGGTGAGACCACCTGTCTCACCTCAGTAGCTACCAGGTTGATGTCTAGCAATAAAAGTATTTGTATGAACGGCAACCATTAACAACATGTGCAACAGACTCCATTACATTTAACTCAGGGTGTGAAATACAGAAGGGATCCTGGTTTGCAGGGTACCAGAGTGTTAGGTTGTATTTTGTTGGTAGAACTTGCAGCCTCGCCTTAACAGTAAAGGTGAGAATGTTCTCACCAATGGCAGCATTCTGGTACATGGAATGGGAGACAAAGTGGTCAGCACAGTCCAGAGCAGCAAGTTTCTCCTGCAGCCTCAGGCCAGTCCAGTGCTGCCGTATCTACATCCGTCTGATACCGAGGCGTGTTGTCCTCGATGTAGGATGAGATGTTCCATCATGGGTGACAGAAGCCTCCACAACAACACAGGAGTCTGCAACAACTGCATCAGAGGCAGTCACACACAAACGCTCACACACTCAGCTGGAAATGCTTGCCTGTGTGCGTTTTCCTAGCTGCGGGAGTCTGCCAGCTCCTCGGTAGAAACTGAGCCAGAACAACCAAGCCACACCTGCCAGATCCAATTGATCCAGTCTGAACTATCTCCTCCTAAACTGACACTGGAGATAGGAACAATTGAACCCCTTTGAGTATTTTAGCGCTGGCCCTGAAATAAATTCACCTCTCAGACATAAATGAACTGTGACTGAATAAATGAAAAAAAGACGTTGCTCAGAATCTATTTTTTTCTCTTTCTCTATCCCTCTATCCCTATTCCATTTTGAAGGCTGTTATTTCTCCCTTAACTCTCTTTCTTTCATCTCTCCTACTACAGAATCGTCATCGTCTGTGATCGTTTTTATGGATACCACGACAACGCGGACTACAACTCGACCGACGACGGTTTCCACAACGACCACGTCAACAACCAGTTCCACCACGACCACCAGGGCCTCTGCGACGACCCCCGTTGCCCAGCGACCACACACCACCTTGACTACCCTGCCGCCGCCATTGCCGCCAGCAGAGGGCAATATCCCAGAGGGCAACACAAGGTCGTCCCCGTCCTCCAAGCTCCCCAACATTGGCATTGAGTACTGTAACCCCATGATCATGTCAGACGTGTCCTGGCCCAAGACCAGACAGGGACTGGTGACCAGGCAACCATGCCCGACTGGAACAATAGGTAATGGGTTTGTTCTACTTAATACTGTGGTTAGTCTGCAGCGGGATGGCATTTATTGTCATGAATCTTGACCTGGAAGCAGCTCTGCAGAATGGTGACTACAGCCACAAAGTAATCAAATCTGATTTTAAACCTAACCTTAACCTTACCCACACTGCTAACCCTAATGCCTAACACTAACCTTAAGTTAAGACCAAAAAGTTCATTTTTGTTTTCATGAACTTTGACGATATAGCCAATTTTGACTTTGCAGCTTGCCCATCTAACGGAAATCGCTCAGTTCTGCCTCCAGGACAAGATTCATGACAGTAAACATCAACCTTCTAGCCTGCGTCTGGTAAAAGTACATAAACCACTATAGGCCTACACTATGGTCATGTACAGTTGGTAGTTGCCAAATATAGCAACTCACTGTCCGGTTGAATTATCATGACCAGTGCGACAAACATGTCGGTTTAATGTGTGAGTTATGGCATCAAATAACAGCTTAAAGCACTATGTAGTACAGGCAATGTAGAGAATGTCTGAAGTATCACCAAAATAGATCAGTGATCCCTGCAGGAATCAAACCCACGACCTTGCTAGCGCCACGCTCTTACCAACTGAACCACTGTATGGAATATTGAACTATGATTGAATTATGCATAAGGATGCAAATGGCCATGAGCCATGAGTCTGGCCCTCAGAGACAAACCAGAATCCTCTGCAGGCTCCTGAATTGGCCCCTCAGGAATGGAGCTGATCAGAAAAGGAAGAGCTTTCCCCTTAAATTTGCTCTTTCTCACTGGGGGTGAATTTCCAAATTAAGTCATGCAGTTAAATCAATTAATGCTGAAACCTCTTCCCCCCTTCAGTTTTCCTACCTAAATTTGTCGTCAAACACATTCTGGTGTCACTTTTCTCAACTCTGTACGGCTACCAATGTTCAACTCATTAGGAAAGCATATTGAAGTATGATATTTGGCACGCCTGAATGTTGTCCTGAATGTTGTCCTGAATGTTATTTACAGGTTTGTTGTTATGTTTGTATGTATCCCCCCTCGCCTTATGCTTGACTCGCTGAGAGTAGAGAAGCTAAAGATGGTGGAAACCTCCCCTATGCTTCTTCATTTCCAGGAAACAATTCCAAGTCTAATTAATTAACACTAAAATGTGGTTGGGTGTGCTCTTTAACGAGGGCACTTGTTCGTAAGGCGCCACTTCACTTGTTTCTTCCTCTCCTCCTGTGCCAACTGGTATCAATTGTCACAGGCCTAAAGGAATGTATACCAACATATTAAGGTCCATAGAAGATCAAGCGCCTCTGATATTAAGGGAAATGGTTTTGAAGTCAATAGTAAGCATAGATCTACATGGAGAGAGTGATATCAAAGAGAGATGGAAGAAATACATGTGATTGTTGCCGTTAGAATCAGGATTAGAAGATTTGCGTTGGAACATGGCGCCCAACATGGGGTTGGTTAGGGTGTCAGCGGTTGTGTCCCAGTGCTGTTCAGGGCTCATATTCACAAAGTATCAAAGTTGAAGTGCTGATATAGGGTCAGTTTTGCTGTTTAGATCATAATGAATAAGATTTTATGGAAAGGACGGGGGCCTGATCCTAGATCAGCACTACTATTTAAAGATACTTTTTGATTACAAGCCCAGAAATATTGCAACCCGGTTTGGGGACTGTCTTGTCTCCCGCCTTCTTCTCCTCATTAACTGGCGACATCAGTCCCCGCGACGAGGCCTCTCGAACGCCTCCGGTGTACGGCAAGACAAGAGGGACACAAAACCACCGCCCCTCTGTGCGTCTCTCTTCAAAGCCGCCACACTTCCGACGGTCGAAGTAGAGGACGGCTTTGAGTTTCCTTACAGGCTGTCTTTGAAAGTTCCTTGAATCCCTACCGTATCTCTCTTTCTCTCTCTCTCTCTCTCTCTCTCTCTCTCTCTCTCTCTCTCTCATCATCCTCATCTCTCTCCCATCTCTCCTCATCCCTCATTCTCTCCTCGCTCGCTCATCCTCTCCTCCGATCTCTCTCTCTCATCAGACTCTCTCTACTTCCTTCTCCTCATTCTCATCTTCTCTCCCCATCTTTATCTCTTGCTCCTCTCTGTCAGGTTGAGGCCTATCTGATAAACCCATCAAACGTTAGGAAGTCCAAGGAGGACTGGGAAGGGAATTATGTGTCAGTCAAAGTTGATATCAGTTAATGTTAGCTGTCTGTCTCCCCCTCCCTCTCTCTATATCCCATAGACATGTACCAATCGGAGACTAGCGTTTTTCTTCCCCAGTCATGGAGTTGATAGTTTATAAAAATACACAATTGCAGTTTATACACAGATTGAATATAAACACTTTCAATGGCATAGCCCACATTATGAACTTGTCCTGTTTCCCTCTATCTGTATCCCTTTAAAATGCGATGCGTCCCAAATTCCACCCTATTCCCTTTTCAGTGCACTACTTTTGACCAGAGCCCTTAGGGGAGGGTGAGTTTGTATAGACGCAATTACAGTTTATACGCAGAGTTAGTAAAAGCACTGATAGGGGCGTAGTCCCATTTTTAACTGACCCTTTTTCAGAAGCCCTTTGTGACCCAAAAGCCACACATGCACACACACACACACACACACACACACACACACACACACACACACACACACACACACACACACGTCGCTCCACATCCTCATCAGTACCAGTCGTCTCCCTCAGGCAGCATTAATTGACCTTTCGTAACGAACTCCAGGATTTCCAACTTAATTGGAACACAGTTTGGTGTATTTTTGCCAGGAGTTCAACTGTCGCACCCGTTTAACAAATGCAGAGGTGCTCCGACTCTTAATTACTAGATTCACACACTATCCAATATACCTGACTTCATTTAACATGTGGAGATGAAACCAGTCGATTACATTCATTTGTCATATCCCCAAATATATTTATTTTACCATTAAGTGGAATTGGTTTTAAGGACATGGTGGTTTGATTGGGAAATTTATATTTTGGGGGCAAATTCGTGACATGCACGTTCATACAGACAAACACCAACAGATTGTATGAGGATGAACAATGAAGATGCAAACAAACAAAACTGTTGTGAGAATACAGTTGTTTCGAAGCACGCGTCTCGCAATGGGATAGTTTTTTACCCTGGGGGATTGTTGGATAAAAGTATGGTCTTAAGAGTGGTGTTGATCCCCAATACTGCTCCCAACTCTCCCCTTCCAGACATACGTTCAGGGGACTATCGTTTGTTTTCTTACCAACATGGTAATTGTCGCTGGTAGCATTGCATTGATCTCCAGGGATAGCTTTGAGATATGAATCCCAGTGTTTTGCTCTATTGCCTCTAACTCTGAGTATTGTTTTCTTCCACAGGCGTGGCCATGTATCTGTGTATGGGGCCCGAAGGATACTGGGACCCCCAAGGGCCCAACCTCAGCAACTGTACGTCCCCGTGGGTCAATGTCATCACCCAGAAGGTAAGGGGCCCCCAAGAGGACCAACTCACGGACACACACTTCATGCTTGGCAATTCACACTTGTTCACTTGGCAACAATGGAAACCTCTTCGACTAAGGGGATACTATGCCCATCCTTCCATCCTCTAGGCTAGGGCCACTGTGTTCCACAGGTTTTCTTTGTCCCTGCTGAGAAGAACTTAGTCAATTAATGTCCACTCACTACAGACCCAAGGACCACAGTTGAAAGCAGCCATCTTAGAACACTTTCCTACCTACTGCATTGAGTTCACAATGTTGGCCAATACACCCACTACACAATTATGGCCCCCCATTCTGCCATTTTCTTTAGGCCCAGAGGCGTCAATCTCATTCCCCCGGAACGAGAATTACTCGAAGAGCTCCACGCATTCTGTGTTTAAATCTATAATGGAGTGGCAGACACAGAAGAGATGGTTATTGGGGCTACAGCAGTAGCACTAGTAGTACTAGTAGCATCACTATCCCTGTTTATGAAATGCATCGGATCTCAAAAACTCCCAGGAGCCCAAGGCATGCCGGCAATAACACTTATAATCCACTCCAGAGCGGCAAATTGCAGCCCCTTAACCAACAGAGCTTTGTGGATATGGATCCACAAGTGGCTAAAAAAGTGAGAGCAAGAGGGAGGTAAAGAGAGAGAGAGAGATAGAGGGGTAGAGAGATAATGCTAGAGAGAGGGAGGTAGGGAGAGAGAGAGAGAGAGAGAGAGAGAGAGAGAGAGAAGTATCAGGTGCATTTTTTGCAATGTGCGGTAAAAGTCTACCGTGGGCTGATGTTTTGGGTATTAACTACAGCTCAGTGGCATTCTGTTGAAATCGATATGGAGATGATTCCACTCCATTCCATTCTGTACTATCCTTTACCATAATGTCGCTCTCTGTTTCCTGACTCACATTCTTAGTCTATTATAGTGTACATCCTAACTACAGTATCTCACATGCAAAGCAGCACAAAACTTGACACCTATACACCTTTCCCATATACACATACTTAGTGGGAGTGACTATCGGAATATGGATACATTTTTAACAAAAGTGTTATTAATCTTTATTACGCAAATTAGGCATGAGCGATGTGCCTGTCATCCCTCGTTGTCGCTGTGGCGACAGGGAATTTAAATGAAGATCAACCTGTCAGGCGTCCCAGAATTCCGTCTGGCGCATATTTTCACAGCACTGTCCCTGGTTCTTCTCATTAACAGGAAGACGCAGAGAGATGAACTCCGTGAGATAGGGAGTGGCTGGTAGAGGCTGAGAGAGAGCAATGACAGACCTCACTTTTTCTTACTGTGGCCATAGCTCTTCTTATTAAGAGAAATAGAGAAACCGAGAGGGAGAGAAGAAGAGACGTGGGAGAGAAGAAGAGACGTGGGAGAGAGGGAGAGAAGAAGAGATGTGGGAGAGAGGGAGAGAAGAAGAGACGTGGGAGAGAGGGAGAGAAGAAGAGATGTGGGAGAGAGGGAGAGAAGAAGAGATATGGGCGAGAGGGAGAGAAGAAGAAGAGAGAGAGCTTCTCTACTCTCCACACACTGTCCACACAGGATCAGGGTTCTCAAAGAAAGGCAAATTAAGCCGGTGTAATTGGATCTGCTAATAAACACAGAGGCAATGATTGCAAGTGATGGCCAAGTAAATCATGTGAGACCCTTTTCTGCGGACACTGCAGTCTCCCCCTAATGATTCTATTAATTCATTTTATAGTACACTACTTTTAACCAGAGCCCTACGAGACCTGTTCAAAAGTTGCACTACAGTGGGGAAAAAAATTATTTAGTCAGCCACAAATTGTGCAAGTTCTCCCACTTAAAAAGATGAGAGAGGCCTGTAATTTTCATCATAGGTACACGTCAACTATGACAGACAAAATGAGGAAAAAAAATCAAGAAAATCACATTGTAGGACTTTTTATTAATTTATTTGCAAATTATGGTGGAAAATAAGTATTTGGTCAATAACAAAAGTTTCTCAATACTTTGTTATATACCCTTTGTTGGCAATGACACAGGTCAAACGTTTTCTGTAAGTCTTCACAAGGTTTTCACACACTGTTGCTGGTATTTTGGCCCATTCCTCCATGCAGATCTCCTCTAGAGCAGTGATGTTTTGGGGCTGTCGCTGGGCAACACAGACTTTCAACTCCCTCCAAAGATTTTCTATGGGGTTGAGATCTGGAGACTGGCTAGGCCACTCCAGGACCTTGAAATGCTTCTTACAAAGCCACTCCTTCGTTGCCCGGGCGGTGTGTTTGGGATCATTGTCATGCTGAAAGACCCAGACACGTTTCATCTTCAATGCCCTTGCTGATTGAAGGAGGTTTTCACTCATAATCTCACGATACATGGCCCCATTCATTCTTTCCTTTACACGGATCAGTCGTCCTGGTCCCTTTGCAGAAAAACAGCCCCAAAGCATGATGTTTCCACCCCCATGCTTCACAGTAGGTATGGTGTTCTTTGGATGCAACTCAGCATTCTTTGTCCTCCAAACACGACGAGTTGAGTTTTTACCAAAAGTTATATTTTGGTTTCATCTGACCATATGACATTCTCCCAATCCTCTTCTGGATCATCCAAATGCACTCTAGCAAACTTCAGACGGGCCTGGACATGTACTGGCTTAAGCAGGGGGACACGTCTGGCACTGCAGGATTTGAGTCCCTGGCGGCGTAGTGTGTTACTGATGGTAGGCTTTGTTACTTTGGTCCCAGCTCTCTGCAGGTCATTCACTAGGTCCCCCCGTGTGGTTCTGGGATTTTTGCTCACCGTTCTTGTGATCATTTTCACCCCACGGGGTGAGATCTTGCGTGGAGCCCCAGATCGAGGGAGATTATCAGTGGTCTTGTATGTCTTCCATTTCCTAATAATTGCTCCCACAGTTGATTTCTTCAAACCAAGCTGCTTACCTATTGCAGATTCAGTCTTCCCAGCCTGGTGCAGGTCTACAATTTTGTTTCTGCTGTCCTTTGACAGCTCTTTGGTCTTGGCCATAGTGGAGTTTGGAGTGTGACTGTTTGAGGTTGTGGACAGGTGTCTTTTATACTGATAACAAGTTCAAACAGGTGCCATTAATACAGGTAACGAGTGGAGGACAGAGGAGCCTTAAAGAAGAAGTTACAGGTCTGTGAGAGCCAGAAATCTTGCTTGTTTGTAGGTGACCAAATAGTTATTTTCCACCATAATTTGCAAATAAATTCATTAAAAATCCTACAATGTGATTTTCTGGAGAGAAAAAATCTCAATTTGTCTGTCATAGTTGACGTGTACCTATGATGAAAATTACAGGCCTCTCTCATATTTTTAAGTGGGAGAACTTGCACAATTGGTGGCTGACTAAATACATTTTTTCCCCCACTGTATATAGGGAATAGGGTGCCATTTGGGACAAAGTCCCAGACTGACTCCTACAGTGCATTCGGAATGTATTCAGACACCTTGACTTTTTCCACATTTTGTTACAGCCTTATTCTAAAAGTAATTAAATTGTTGTTTACCCTCATCAATATACACACAATATCCCATAATAACAAAGCAAAAACAGTTTTTTAGAAATTTTAGCAAATGTATAAATTTAAAAAATATATATATATATCACATTTACATAAATATTCAGACCATTTACTCAGTACTTTGTTGAAGCACCTTTGGCAGCGATTACAGCCTTGAGTCTTCTTGGGTATGATGCTACAAGCTTGGCACACCTGCAGATCCTCTCAAGCTCTGTCAGGTTGGATGGGGAGCGTCCCTGCACAGTTATTTTCAGGTCTCTTTAGAGATGTTCGATCGGGTTCAAGTCCGGGCTCTGGCTGGGCCACTCAAGGACATTCAGAGACTTGTCCCGAAGCCACTCATGCGTTATCTTGGCTGTGTGCTTAGAGTTGTTGCCCTGTTGGAAGGTGAACCTTCGCCCCAGTCTGAGGTCCTGAGCGCTCTGGAGAAGGTGTTCATCAAGGATATCTTTGTACTTTGCTCCGTTAATCTTTCCCTTGATCCTGACTAGTCTCCCAGTCCCTGCCGCTGAAAAACATCCCCACAGCATGACGCTGCCACCACCATGCTTCACCCTAGGGATGGTGCCAAGTTTGCTCCATACGTGACACTGGCATTCAGGCCAACAAGTTCAATCTTGGTTTCATCAGACCAGAGAATCTTGTTTCTCATGGTCTGAGAGTCTTCAGGTGCCTTTTGGCAAACTCCAAGCGGGCTGTCATGTGCTTTTTACTGAGGAGTGGCTTCCGTCTGGCCACTCTACCATAAATGCCTGATTGGTGGAGTGCTGCAGAGATGGTTGTCCTTCTGGAAGGTTCTCCCATCTCCACAGAGGAACTCTGGAGCTCTGTAAGAGTGACCATCGGGTTCTTGTTCACCTCTCTGACCAAGGCACTTCTCCCCCGATTGTTCAGTTTGGCCGGGCGGACAGCTCTAGAAAGAGTCTTGGTAGTTCCAAACTTCTTCCATTTAAGAATGATGGAGGCCACTGTGTTATTGGGGGCCTTCAATGCTGCAGACATTTTTTGGTACCCTTCCTCAGATCTGTGCCTTTACACAATCCTGTCTCGGAGCTCTATGGACAATTCCTTTGACCTCATGGCTTGGTTGTTGCTCTGACGTGCACTGTCAACTGTGGGACCTTATGTAGACAGATGTGTGCCTTTCCAAATCATGTCCAATCAATGGAATTTACCACAGGTGGACTCTAATCAAGTTGAAGAAACATCTCAAGGATGATCAATGGAAAGAGGATGCACCTGAGCTCAATTTACAGTCTCATAGCAAAGGGTCTGAATACTTATGTAAATAAGGTATTTCCGTTTTTTATTTATTTTATACATTTGCAAACATTTCTACAAACCTGTTTTCGCTTTGTTATTACATTTACATTTACGTCACTTAGCAGACGCTCTTATCCAGAGCGACTTGCAAATTGGTGCATTCACCTTATAGCCAGTGGGATAACCACTTTACAATATGTTTTTTTTTTTTTTTTTTTTGTGGGGTAAGGGGGGGTAGAAGGATTACTTTATCCTATCCCAGGTATTCCTTAAAGAGGTGGGGTTTCAAGTGTCTCCGGAAGGTGGTGAGTGACTCCGCTCTCCTGGCGTTGTGAGGGAGCTTGTTCCACCATTGGGGTGTCAGAGCAGCGAACAGTTTTGACTGGGCTGAGCGGGAACTGTGCTTCCGCAGAGGTAGGGGGGCCAGCAGGCCAGAGGTGGATGAACGCAATGCCCTCGTTTGGGTGTAGGGACTGGTCAGAGCCTGAAGGTACGGAGGTGCCGTTCCCCTCACAGCTCCGTAGGCAAGCACCATGGTCTTGTAACAGATGCGAGCTTCAACTGGAAGCCAGTGGAGTGTGCAGAGGAGTGGGGTGATGTGAGAGAACTTGGGAAGGTTGAACACCAGACGGGTTGCGGCATTCTGGATGAGTTGTAGGGGTTTAATGGCACAGGCAGGGAGCCCAGCCAACAGCGAGTTGCAGTAATCCAGACGGGATTTGACAAGTGCCTGGATTAGGACCTGTGCCGCTTCCTGTGTAAGGCAGGGTCGTACTCTCCGAATGTTGTAGAGTATGAACCTACAGGATCGGGTCACCGCCTTGATGTTAGCGGAGAATGACAGGGTGTTGTCCAGGGTCACGCCAAGGCTCTTCGCACTCTAGGAGGAGGACACAACGGAGTTGTCAACCGTGATGGCGAGATCATGGAACGGGCAGTCCTTCCCTGGGAGGAAGAGCAGCTCCGTCTCGCCAAGGTTCAGCTTGAGGTGGTGATCCGTCATCCACACTGATATGTCTGCCAGACATGCAGAGATGCGATTCGCCACCTGGTTATCAGAAGGGGGAAAGGAGAAGATTAGTTGTGTGTTGTCTGCGTAGCAATGATAGGAGAGGCCATGTGAGGATATGACAGAGCCAAGTGACTTGGTGTATAGCGAGAATAGGAGAGGGCCTAGAACTGAGCCCTGGGGGACACCAGTGGTGAGAGCACGTGGTGTGGAGACAGATTCTCGCTACGCCACTTTCTAGGAGCGACCGGTCAGGTAGGACGCAATCCAAGAGTGAGCCGCGCCGGAGATGCCCAACTCGGAGAGGGTGGAGAGGAGGATCTGATGGTTCACAGTATCAAAGGCAGCAGATAGGTCTAGAAGGATGAGAGCAGAGGAGAGAGAGTTAGCTTTAGCAGTGCAGCGAGCCTCCGTGACACAGAGAAGAGCAGTCTCAGTTGAATGACCAGTCTTGAAACCTGACTGGTTTGGATCAAGAAGGTCATTCTGAGAGAGATAGCAAGAGAGTTGGCTAAAGACGGCACGCTCAAGAGTTTTGGAGAGAAAAGAAAGAAGGGATACTGGTCTGTAGTTGTTGACATCAGTGGGATCGAGTGTTGGTTTTTTGAGAAGGGGTGCAACTCTCGCCATCTTGAAGACGGAAGGGACATAGCCAGCGGTCAAGGATGAGTTGATGAGCGAGGTGAGGTAAGGGAGAAGGTCACCGGAGATGGTCTGGAGAAGAGAGGAGGGGATAGGGTCAAGCGGGCAGGTTGTTGGGCGGCCGGCCGTCACAAGTCGCAAGATTTCATTCATTATTATGGGGTATTGTGTGTAGATTGATGGACATTTTTTTATTTAATCAGTTTTAGAATAAGGCTGTAACATAACAAAATGTGGAAAAAGCCTTGGGGTCTGAATACTGACCTGATTAAATGTTGTTTCTGAACAGTAGCCCAATCTTCTGCATGTGAAAACATTACCCATTTGAATAGAACAGTTGTTATTGAATTAAATGTCTGTGTTGTAGAAGAAAGATTTTTCGTAATCCAATTCAAGATAAATTAAAAGCACAGAAACACATTGCACTATGAAATGAGACTCCTCTAGACATCATTAGGCCTCTCTGCTTGGCAGATTTATATGTTGTAATTTAAAAACCAAGAAACCCGATGACTACAAAGTGGTTGGTAGTTTGTGGGCAAATGGAGACTCCTCATTAGCAAATTATCAGACTCATCCATGGAGAGAGAGAGAGAGAGAGAGAGAGAGAGAGAGAGAGAGAGAGAGAGATTCCACCTAGTGAGGCAAGGTGGAGCTATTATCAGATTGATTACACATGTCAAATGGTAATCAGGATAGATGGAAAGCAAGGAAAAAATATATATATATTTCATACCTGAAGTGAAATTTGAGACTGGAATGGATTTTAAGTAGCGTAAAAGAGAGTTTACACTGGTCATTCAGTAACATTGAATGAAATATTGAATCCTCATATTATTGATTTGAACCGATCATATTATACACCTGCCTATTTTTTCCCCTCGAGGACACCATTATTAGCTAAATAGTGCAAAACCCCCAATTTAGACCAGCCAACTGGGTTCATGTTTGGCCAGCCCATCTGGCATTTGCCCGAGCTGCCCTATGGCCAGTCCATTTGTACTATAGCTACATAGCATGATGGTCAGTGGTTAATTTCATACTGTGTATGCGTCAATGTGAATGTGTGTGTGCTATCAAGCGTGGTTCATTTGTGTGTATGTTGTTGTTTTTCCAGCTCAAAGCCGGAGAGACTGCAGCCATCATTGCCAGGGAGCTGTCGGAGCAAACCAAGAGTAACCTTCAAGCAGGGGACATCACCTACACAGTCAAGGCCATGGGTCAGCTTGTGGACCTACTTGACGTGCAGCTGAGGAACCTTACCCCTGGAGGCAAAGATAGCGCAGCCCGCAGCCTCAACAAGGTAGGTTTCTACCTCAGTCTGGGAAAAACAATGGCTGTGTCATAATACTCACAACTAATTTCCTTTTCCTCGTCTCCTTCCCTTCGGGACTAGTTGATTTGACAGATTGTGACAGGCAAGAGCAACATAACCAGTAGGGTTTCCAACCTTTCGCCTCACCTATCCAGATTGTTCAGATCAGTGGTCCACCAAGGACACAGGATGAAGAAAGGAGGATATATATGAGAATTGATTCATAGGCGAAGAAAGAACTGACTTTATTCACCTTTCTTTGTTTTTTTCATTCTCTGAAACTTTATTTTTCACCGGTGGGGGCCAGACAAGGATTTCAAGCCAGTCGAACCTGAACAGTAGGCATTGTTTTAATGATCTGTACTCCGGCCACAGCACTGTCATACCAAATGATCTCCTGCATTATTTCTTGCATCTAGCGATCTGCTGCCGTTCAAGAAAAAGATCTACAAGCAGCCAAACGCAGGGGGATATCTCGAAGCCTCACTTCATAGGCTGTACTGCTTTAAATTATCAAAAGTCGGTTGGGGTTGTAGCTAATTATACCAGAAAACGCGTGGGTAGGATTATTCCAAAGTAGGTAGACTTTTTAAGAGGTCATACGGATATTCCAGGCACGTCTGAAGAGGTGCTCATGCTCATTTCATTCTAATGACAAGGAAATGTATTAAACATTGCTGTTTTCTAAACCCAAGAGTGCAGGAGGTTTTTGTAGCCCCAACCTAATGCAATTATTCCCAAATTCACAGTTGGGTACACATAGGGGCACTCAGGCAATGTGACGCAACCAACGGAAAAGCAAACATCAGTGAAATTCTAAATGTCAGCCGTTAATTTGTTTGAGCGGCTTCACTTGTAGTGGAACAATAACACCTGTTTCCCAATAGCTTTTTTTCACTGACTTTATTTAATTGCTGCATGCAGCCAGATGCCTCCATTGAGATTTAAGTGTCGTTCCCTCCATTGGAGAGCGAGGCGATGGTGATCGCCAACGGGCTGAAGAGAAACCTGACGGCTTGCACTTCTGATCTATTCATCTATGGCTTTTACGAGGTAGCCATCTTGAAAATAAAAAGTGAAGAAAAGTTACAATTCAAACAACGTTTTATGGGAGAGGATCCTTGATTTTTATTGTTATAATCTTGTCGTAAAACTGAAGCCAATGTACTATGAATATACAGTATGTAAAAATAAACATTAGCCTAGACTAGAGGGGCCGCAGTTAGCCTAGTGGTTAAGACCATTAGGCAGGTAACCGAAAGGTTGCTGGTTTGAATCCCAGAGTTGATTAGGTAAAGAAAAAATGTTGATGTGCCCTTGAGCAAGGCACTTAACCCTATTTGCTTCTGTAAGTCGCTCTGGATAAGAGCGGCTGTTAAATGACAAAAAATGTGAATGTAAAAAATGAATTTACATCTTCTCTTATGATGATGCCAAAAAAGATAATGTCTAGAATAAGGAAAGCTACTACTGGGAGAATAGTATTTTTCCCATTTGATCATTATCTCTTAGATAAATACACTAACTACCTAGTACACCAAGGACCTATGACAAAGCTCCCCTAGCGCTCTCTCTATACTATTCAAGGTTGTCCTCGCCGCTCTGTCCTCCATCCTTTCCCCTTTAATCCCGGCTGGCATAGCAGCCAATAGCGCTGGTGCTCCACCTCTCTCTCCCCCTCGCACGTGTGTTTACCTCTGAGTTCAATCATTTTGACACAAACTGCTAAAAGCTAACGGATTTAAAGATCCCTTTGATAGTGAGCACAATGCTTCTCCGCCGGCAGACAAAGAGCCGATTGAGTTGGCAAACACCAAGATCCGTGCCACTTTCATGATCAAAGTGTCATGCGAAAGGCGCTAACGGGACCATTTCCAGGAAAATGGGCTGACTGATTGGAAGGAGCGAGAGCCTTCCTTCATGACGAAGATGCCACCCATCGCAGACAATCAGGAGCGCATCAGCATTCCCTCTATGCTACGCACTACAGCTAGGCTAGGCTAACAGAGTAGGCCTCTGTTTATTTAGTCTGTTCCCAGCCCAATGCTACGTGCTAGTCTAGGCTAACAGAATAGGCCTCAGTTTATATCTAGTCTGCTCATAGTCCAGGCAACTAGCGAACTTCCTTAATTTCAAATTACATCATTTAGATTGGGAACAGGTGTGCAGTTATGTAGCCTAGCTAGCTGTCAGTCCTCCAGTGCTACTTCGAAATCTCTACCTACTGAATTAAACTGCTAACATCAGTCCCAGGTATGCTAAACTCATTCAGGTTTAGCTTTACTCCTGCTGTGACAAGGTTTCCAGGTTAAATAGTTATTCTTTAGTTCCTTTTTCTCCACTTACCCACAGGTACAAGTGGTAACCTTGAAACTCCAACTTGAAAGCTGAACAATGTCTCAGCCCCAATCCCCACTTGGGCTGTGTGGCTTGTTTCCGCTCTAATTGACTACGATTCTTTGTGATGTTTTCTATGAGAGGGAATAATGAATGTACATGCCGTTTTTCACACAGTTTATGTAAAATGAGAAAGTCTTAATTAGCCAAAGTCGAGAGGTGACATTTTGTTATATATTTATTTTTTTCTCTTTTCACACTTTCTTTCATACTAACTTGTATGTCATGTGAACCCTTTGCTAACTGTTACATTTTCTGGTGGTTTACAGCTGCAGAAAAGAGAGCGCTCTTGCCGGTTTTACGTGCAGGTATTTTGACTCTAATCTTTCACCCAGCTTCCTACCCTTCCCATCCACCATTGTGCTGTGTTTTGGTGTAACCATGATTGTGACTTGTTGCCCCACCATAATGTCATGCTTTGTGCTAATGATATTCCTGGCTGTGAAGGCATTTGTTGCTCAATGTTGGGCCTGCCAAGTAAACTTTGACTTTGTAAAATTGTATCTGAAAACTTGGATCTTAACATACCACTTAGGTATGTATCAGTGTGGATGCAACTATTGCTAGTTGCCATTTTTTTATCCAAATGTTTGCTCATCTCACTTTGTCTTAACCACATCCGAATGTCCTAATTCTACCGCCAACCACCACCCGTGCAACCAATTCACATACTCACTGTTTCCCTGCATGCTTTGCCTGTTAATGCTGTTTTCATGCCTCTGTGTTTGTGTTGTGATGGTTTTTGATGGTAAAACAACACTCCAAAGAAGAAACTATATAAATATTGTATGTAATGCGTACTATGTGATAAGAACATTGGTTGATCATGGATTTCACTTCAACATTGGTCATGGTTGGATAGGTTATGGCCTGGATATAAATGTCAAACAAGATATCAGGTTTTTTGCTTGAAGGAAATGTCAAGCATGGTTTCCCTGCTCGAGACGTCTATACAACACATTGAAGTTATTTTCTTAGAGGAAATAAAGATAACCATATATAATCATTTTTGTCATCTATAGAAATATACTTGCTCACAACACCACATTATAGCATATACTCACAGCTCTCACCTTGTTATTACATTGTTAAAACCGTCAGTGGTTATGCACTTGCTCAAAGTGCATAACTACTGTCATTTCACTCTTAAGATTTTCCATAGGAGAAGCACAGACAATAGCGTGACAATGCCCCAAAGTTTTTTCCCCCAGACATTTAAATCTGACTTCCACCTTTTGTGTAATAAGTAGATACGGTTAAGAGACAAAAGTGACCTCAATAAACCAAAGCAAGTCAAAACCCACCATCCACCAGAACTCCCCTGACAGGCAAGACTCATAGGGGGGTGTTATGACTCGTCCTGATGCATTAAGCACGTGTGTCCCAATTTGTAGGACCTCTGCAGCTATTTCTTGAGCTCCAGTGTGGATTTGATATCCCGGCTTGTCAGTAAAATGTCATCAAAATCTGTTCTGCCTTGAGAAGAGCTGCCGGATGAATTTACATGCATGTATGCTTCCCACCGCAGATGGTTCCTATAGCTTACAGATGCTGTCCTATATGGTCTGTGGTAGTATCAAATCTGTCAGGCGACATGAATTTGATTGTTTCAAATCCTTCGCGGTGTGTCTGAACTCACTTCAATAAGTATGGGTTGTTTGGTTGTGCATTTTCCGGTGGATAAAAGGTGTGTGTGATGTGTGCGCGTGCATGACACAGAGCGTATGGAGTATAAGTGTGTGCAGCATTTGTAGATCAGTTGGCGTTTGCTTATTTTACATTTCAGTCATTTAGCAAACGCTCTTATCCAGAGCGACTTACAGTAGTGAGTACATACATTTTCTCACTGGGCCCCCATGGGAATCGAACTCACAACTCTGCCGTTGCAAGTGCCATGCTTTACCAACTGAGCCACACGTTTCCCACCACACGGCACCCTTATTGTTTTACACGCACTGACTAAGAAATCAATTAATTATCGATGACTGTGGGTTTGTGTGTGTATGCACACTGTGCACACATGTTTATGTGCACACAAGTGTCTACATGTTTGTGTGTGTGTGCATTTACATGTGTGTGTGTATATATATGCACAACTGTTGAACTGTGCACTGGCGTCGACTCGATACCTTCCCTGAGCCTGACAGTGTCAAACAAAAGGGGAAGGAATCTCGTTCGACGAACCAGAATAATGGAACAACATCTGCTGGTCTTCTGTAAACGCAGACATCGATTGCGCTGTGTCATGTCTTTGAGGGACTTTCATTGATTAGGGAAATTGAGTAGTGTTTTCTCAAACCAGGCCCCTGGTGGTTCACTTAAGTGGGATTAGTGGAGGCATACAAAACAAACCAAGGCAGATGCCTCTCTCTGCAGCACCTGCTTGCACAGACAGAGACGCACTTGAATGCATGCACACAAATAGACTGACACACACACACCCTCTGTTTTGGAACCAGGCTGAGCACACCATGCACAATCATCGTTGGCAATGAGGTAGAGGCATTATGTTAAATACTTAGCCAGACTTCTCAGGGTGAAAAATAACTCAAAACATCTAAAAGTTTATAGCAGTGTGAGGATGGGCTTGG